TACAATATTGAGATAACCAGCAAAAACACAGAGATTAAAGGTTGGTTAGGCAATGGTCTCCACCTGTATTCACAGCAAAGTGTCTGAGACCAAAGTCAGTTTGATGGGTTAAAATTTGAGAGAGAAGTAGTAAAAGAATCAAGCAAACACCTAAAAAATGGCACAACAAATTAAGACCCTGTGAATTAAATGCTTGGTTTCCATATCAGAGTGCTGATGTGAATCTGGCTGCTCTGTTTCTGACCAAGCTCCCTGTTAACATGCCTGTCCAGATGGAAGACGGCTCAGCTCCTTGGGGCCCTGCCACCCATGTGAGTGATCAGGATAGGGTCCCTGCTCCCGCATGATTCAGGCCTGGCTTCGTGAGTGAAAAAGCCATGGAAAAACTGTCTCATTTTCTTTGTTGCTCTGCCTTTCAAATAACTAAGTAAATCATCATTTTAAAAAAATGACAAATTTTTTGGTACCACATTTCCTTTTTCAGGCTCTGTCTGCATCTAGGCCCAGTTGAAGACAGCCTAAAGCCTTGGGTCCCTGCACCCAAGTGGGAGACCCGGAATAAGCTCCTGGTTCCTGGCTTCAGATCAGAGCAGCTCTTGGTGTTGCAGCCACGTGGAGAGTAAACCAGCAGACAGGGGAATCTTCCTCTCTCTCTCTCTTCTCTGTATATCTACTTTACAATAAAAAAAAAAATCTGACTTCACAATAAAAAAATCTTTAAGAAAGGATTTCCGCATAAAGAAATGATCAAAGTACTGTTTTCAGAATATTAATCTCACAGCCTATAAGCAGTAATATCCAGAAGTACCGGTTGTAAGTCGCTATAACTGAAAACACTTGACTTCACATGAAGTGTGGACATCGTGGAAATATTTGGAGGTCAAAGAAGGCGTTACATATATTTCATAACACCAATTTTATTTCCTTCATTAGGTATTTTTTAAGGGCTTTCCTTACCAGTGTTGCTGGGCAAAACTAAAACAAAGCAACAAATAACCCCAAACCTCAGTGATTTAAGTCAACAACCATTTGTTTCTATCTCACAGTCTGCTGCAAGTCCAGATAACTTTATGAACCTTTTGGTTCTGATGTTGGATATGTATCCTGTGCTTTAGGCTTGTGTGATCCCCACAGCACCTCTATGATTGCCGACACAGGATATCTCACTTTCATCCATAACCTACTGACAGGGACTAGTCACACAGCTGCCCAACTAAAGGAAAATAGGAAATAAAATTTACGAATCAGAAAGACTTGATTATATTCATATGAAAACTAAACTCTCTCTTGGGCCCGGCAGCGTGGCCTAGTGGCTAAAGTCCTCACCTTGAACACGTCCAGGATCCCATAATGGGCGCTGCTTCTAATCCCAGCAGCCCTGCTTCCCATCCATCTCCCTGCTTGTGGCCTGGGAAAGCAGTTGACGATGGCCCAATGCTATGGGACCCTGCACCCCTGTGGGAGACCCAGAAGAAGTTCCTGGATCCTGGCTTCAGATCGGCATAGCATCAGCTGTTGCGCTCACTTGGAGAGTGAATCATCGGACGGAAGATCTTCCTCTCTGTCTCTCCTCCTCTCTCTATATCTGACTTTCCAATAAATAAATAAATCTTTTTAGAAAAGAAAAAAGAAAACTGAACTCTCAACCTAAGAGAGGGCTTTAGGAGGGCAGAGCCACAAGAACTCTGCCCTCAATGAAGAGCTATGCTAAGGGCTGGTGGGAATGAACCAGTCCCCTCTTGTCCTTCCACCCTTCTACTATGTGAGGAAACAATGTCCAGTCCCTGCTGCAGAACAGACACTGAACCTGGGAATCCCAGCCTCCAAAACCACAAGGGTACATTTCTATTATTTATACCATTTACTGTATTCATACTAGTAGGAGCACACTAAGATACGTGGTGGATTAACAGCCCAAAGAAAATCCCCACGGTCACCTCATTGACACCGGAAAACTGACAGAATCAATATCTGTTACTAGGGAAAACTCTTAACAAACTAGGAAAAAAGTGAAACTTCCTCAACCTGATGAAGAACATATAAAATAAAACATACTTAATGTAAAAGCTCTTCAGATCAGGAACAAAGAGAGCAGGCTGTCTATCTTCAACATTTTCTTTTATTTTTTTTTTTAAGATTTATTTTTATTATTTTTTCATTGGAAAGGCGGATATACAGAGAGGAGAGACAGAGAGGAAGATCTTCCGTCCGATGATTCACTCCCCAAGTGAGCGCAACGGGCCGATACTATGCCAATCCGAAGCCAGGAGCCTCTTCCAGGTCTCCCACGCGGGTGCAGGGTCCCATAGCATTGGGCCATCGTCGACTGCTTTCCCGGGCCACAGGCAGGGAGCTGAAAGGGAAGCGGGGCTGCTGGGATTAGAACCGGCGCCCATATGGGTTCCCGGGCGTGCAAGGCGAGGACCTTAACCACTGTGCCACTGTGACGGGCCCTATCTTCAACATTTTTATTCACCATTGTAGTGGATGATTTCATCAGTACAATAAGATCATAAGAAAACAACAAGACATACAGGTGGAAAAGAAGAGATAAAACTGTTCCTCAAAGATGGCCCAAGGACTCGGTCCCTACCAGCAATGTGGGAGGCTAAGATGAAGTTCATGGCCCCTGGGTTTGGCTCTGTGCAGACCTCACTGTTATGACCATTTTGTGGAGAGAACCAGCAGATGAAAGATACCACCTCTCGATTTCCGTCTCTGGCTTAGTTACCCTGTTTTTCAAATAAATGGGGAGAGAGTTTGACAAATGTTGAAGCTGCAGGCTATTAAGATGATACTCCATTTTACAATGTTTGACGTTTTGGTACAGACAGGTCTGCAGTTGGCTTCAATTTCAATGTCAAATCTTTCCAATCACTTCAAATAAATAAATGCTGTGTGTGCTCAAAATAATATCAACAGAGGAAAATTCCAGAAATATTATACTTTAGATAACACATTACTAAAATGACTGGATTAAAATCTAGAAGTAGATTTTGAAATAGCAAATCAAAACTTGTTTCACTAATACCATCAAAGAAATAAAGAGCAAAAATAATTTTAAAGATATCAGCCCAAAGCAAAATTACTAAGCTTTTACATCCTCACTACTATTTACGTAGTATTGCTTTCTTGCTGTGTTGGTCCAGCATTATTTTTTCTTTTGAGAAATACTGTTTGTGTTTCTCAAGCATTCAGCATGGCAAGAGACACAATGGAACAACAATCCAAGTCACAGGAGCAAAACACAAAGTTAGCCATTAAAGAAACACGAACTAAATGAAAGGTTAAGGATTATATTCTGAATTTACATGTTTGCTTTCCACATTTAGACCGTGATACAACATCAGAATACAGTTGCTAAAGTAAGCTAACCACTAGGGTAAAAGAAGTGGTTCAGATATCATTAAAATATAGCTAAGAAATTCTTTCACTTTCTGATACATGAAAGTTACACTAGAAGTTATTTTTAGTTCTGAAGGAGACCCACATACATACGACATACACACATACAGCAAGAGAGACGTTAGACAGGTATCAGTCAGCAATTCCCAGAGACGCTCCTTGCTGTAGTACTACCCTCTGCTTCCTAAAGTTTCTAAACTGCTCCCAGTGCATGCCTCCCTAATGGGACTGTCACTCGTAACACATTTTCCTCCCACCTTATGATGACCTTGGGCTGAAGGATGCCGCAAGGTCATTCTGACAGGACTCATAATGAAGTTCTTTTAAAGTATCCATCATGCCAATTTGCAAAGAGAATAGAAATGAGTGGATCCAGCATTTAAGTGCTTACAATTCTAAGCCCTACAATTAGTCCCTTGAGATCCTGGATCCTGTTATCTCTTTTGATTACAGAGACTATCTCTATAATCCAGCCCACTTTTTGTTCAGGATGATTTCAAGCTGAATTTGTCATTTGCACCTGAAAGAATCCTGTGACGTTAAAACAACTTCCTCAATGTCCAGTATAATCTAAATGCCAGTGATTAATCAATCCAGACCTGTCCCCTTTATGCAATAGCTTCTCCTATTGTGGAAAATGTATTTTGTATCCTACTGAACTTTTATTCCAAAATCTAGACTCCTTGAAGACTAAGAACAGAAAAGAAAGATGTTATGGTAGACCAGGGAGGGAAACAAGGGCACCTAATCCTCTACCACTTCCCTCCCGGATAGCAGGAGTGAGGTAACAGCTGCAAGCATCTGCAAAGGATCTAAGTCACCGGGCATGCTAAGCAATGACATGACAAGGAACCTAAAGCATGAACCATAAAGCTTCTGTCCAAGAGCAACTCAAAACTGTGTTAATCCAAGGAAAGAATGAAATGTCTTCTCTCTTCCCTTTGCTATACCTACCCTGTGGTAATAAAGACAATGTGTAATACCAAACTAAAACCTTTTACATTTCCTGAGGTGAGCAAGAATGCATCTATTTCCATTTAAAAACTGTTTATTCACTTATGCAAAGAGAAACAAGTAAACTAATGGTTTAGTCTTTAGTAACAACCCTCAGAGCAAATGTCATTTTCTTATTTTCTGACTTTAAATATTCCCCTTATTTCTTTGGCTGCACTTATTATGATTTGGAATTACCTTAGTTGTTCCTTTTTATCACTTACCTGCTTATTCACTTTTTAATTGAAAAGGATCTTGCCAGTTTTGTTTGCCACATTTTAACAACCTGGTTTATAAGAAGACACTAAATATTTAATAAATTAAACTGTTGCAAAAATGAAAATTACTACTATGATAACTATAAAATATACGAATCTTGAAGTTAAATGATGTGTGATTATTCCTGTGTTTGAGAATTTGGAGTGGAATGGACATTTATAGCACAGGGGTCAGTAGTTGAGAGCTGAGGTATTCTCTGTAGTGGTGGTAGCAGAAGCTCAACTGAGCTGTGGCACTTTCAAGCCACCATGTAGGAAGGCTGCCTGCTTCATTCAACCTGGCTTTTTTCACAGCAGTGGCTGACAGACACATTCTGCATAAACTTATTCTTAAAAGCTTTATTTAATCTTTAATTAATATGTGACAACTGTAAATAATTATAGGGTACAATATTTGAGTGAAGAGTTTCAAAATGCATTGGGATAGGCTGGTGGAACCACTGTTCCAGAAAATTTGGAGCTAAGGTAGCTGAAGACACCGTCAATATGTTATAAACATCATAAATGTTTTCATACTGTAGCAACATTGAATTATTCCTGGCTTAATGTTATACAGGTTTAGGTAATTCATGCTTTTTCAGAATTACAGAGATAAATGAAAAATTAAGGCTTCTGTACCTTGCAAATCTTTAACCTTCAACTGTATTAAAAAAAATAAAGGTTAATTAAATCTTATACTGGAGAATTTTTGAATAGCGGGATTGAAAAATTTCTTTCTGCTGTGTTAATATTTTTATTTGACTTGTTTTCCTACAAGGAGGCTGTACAAAAATATGGTTAGCATTCCCCCTTCCCAGCAGCAGATTTAAAACCAGATTAGTTGTAATAGGATTCCAGGATGCGGGTAGATGTCTACTTGTCACGGACGATCTCTCTGGCAATCAGTTCCTTCATGATCTCATTGGTGCCACCATAGATTGGCTGAACTCGGGCATCCACATAAGCTCTGCATAAGCCACAAATTGACAGAATAAATCAGTCTTAGGAATCAGAAACTGTTTCAGCAGATAAATCATTAACTGAATTATTCATTTAAGGAAATCCAAGCAACAGAAAAGAATACTTTTCTAGTATGATACTTACTTTGAATAGGTACAATTAAACAAAACCAACCTATTTAGATATTGAAAATCTATGTGGTTTTCTTTGAGTTTTCTCACGGTTATTACAAAATCAAGAATGTTTCACCTGCTTTAAATTTGGCATGTACAATTCTTAGTTAATCCATTTCATACTTAGAATTGCATGGGATGTTTTAATTTCTTGCTATAGCTAATGTTTCCCTCAAAAGCTGAAATCCCTGAGTGTTGTAGAGAATAAAAGATAAAACAAATGACTATTTTTTAGTATCCCTCCAGATCCTAATACTATGACCACTATAAGGAATACAAAGTAAAAATACTTTAGAAAACATCACTGCCTATTAAAGGTAACAAGCAATTGGTTTTTGGAAATGTTTTTGACAATTTCTAGTCATTCTAGTAATACGTGGGTTGAAATACTAAGTGACTAATTCTAATACCCTCTACTCTGACCTCCTAAAAATTACCAGTTCACACTCAGTTTTCTTTAAAATGACTTATTTGAAAGGCACAGTGTCAAAGAGAGTGAGACGCAGAAACAGATTTCTTATGTAAAATGTGAGCACAACAGCCAGACTAGGCCAGGCCAGCACCTGCAGCCTGGAACCACATCAAGTCCCCCATGTGGTGGAACAGACTCAAGTAATTGAGGCATCACTCACTGCTTCCCAAGCACACTAGCAAGGCTCTGGATAGCTTAAGTTCAGTAGGCAAGACTTGAAGAAGTAGTATTCTGATATGTACTTTGGTCATACCAAAAGGCAGCTAACCCTGGTGCACCACAACATTTTGTCTCAGGAGCTCACTTTCAGAATATCTGAAAGGGAGAGAACACACACACATGTACATACAACTCTTAAGGGTCCTCCCTATAGGTGGCAGAAGTCCAAGTGCTTGAACCAATACCTGCTAGCTTTCAGGGCACATTAGTAGGAAGTTGCATCAGAAGCTGAGGAGCCAGGACTCGAACCAGAATTGATAGCAGATATAGGTAGCCAAGCAACAGCCTGATGTGCTGTGCCACAACACCTGCCCCAGGAGTTCACCTTTTTAAAAATCTTTGAGAGGTAGACACACAGAGAGATACAGAAAAGGAGAGAACTCCACCAGCAAATCTACTTCCCAGAGCCCAGCACAGCCAGGACTGAAACAGGCATAAGCTTCAAGACAGGAACTTAATCCAGGTCTCCAATGTGGATGGCAGGTGCCCAAACACCTGCTGCCTCTCAGACGTCACATTAACATGAGTCCTACATAGGCTGTTAACCGCTGGGCCAAACCAAACTGCCCCCAAAGTTCACTTGTGATAGTCACGATGGCAACCAGAACACTGATTTTATTATTTTTACCTTTTTCACTTTGTCCTCTCATTTAACCCTCTCATCTGCGATCAGGGGAAATGCTTAGTTTTCTAGGTTCTTGGAAGTTCACAGATGTTAATATGCTTACTAACTAACTGTTGTTTTACTGACAACATAACAGAGAACTGGCAGACTGGATTGAGAATCTGGGCATCTGCCTGTACTGAAGTATTTTTAATTACATCACAGCATTTTCATTGGCTCAGACATTTAAAGTCAACTATTTTGAGCTTTGTACTTTTCTAGAAGAAGATGAAATTCAAGGATATCATTTCCAGATGTAATTATGTCTTTTCTTTTTTTTAAAAAAATGATTTTTACGATAAAATGTGCCAGTTCTCTAAGAACATGGCCTTTGAAACAAGAAAACATTCAGTAAATACTTACTGATTTCATTTAGGGTATTACAAAGACAATTTGGAATTTCAATAATTTCAGATGAAAGTCTTACAAAGTTTTGAGTCTTTTATATTTTCAAATATATTATTTTCGCAGCAGATTCTGTTGTTTGCCACAAAATCCTGAATTTGAGTTTTAAGAACCTATGTGGCATTGCAGAACTGTTTGAAATTGTACTGCTTTGTAAACATTTTTTCAGCAGGGTTGGACATTTTTTTTTTTTCCATATTAAAGAAGTTCCAAGGAAGTATGTCACGCCAGATATCAGTAGACCTTTTATAGGTTACTAATTAAATTTAGTCATCAACTAAAATTAACACAGAAAGGCAGCAGCGGCAATGTTTAACTACACTGCAGTGAAGTTCTAGCTCCCGGATGCCCTTCCGAGCACAGTAGACAAGTCGACAAAAGTCAAAACTCAAATCTCACTTCTTGCAACCTGAAGAAGTCTGGTAAAAGTGAAATAAGCTCACATGCTAAATACAATGAAAAAACTACTAACAATAAAAAAGTAAGACAAAGGGCCTTTTTATCTTTTAAATTAAGGCTCATCTGCCAATGTAAAATTAAATAACTCAATTTGCCCTGAGGAATATGAGAAAGCAATTAGAATAATTGTCCTCTATCATACACTGTATCAACATACTACCTTTTGTGCCTTGCTGCCATTTTTTATATTGGTTGATATTAAGATTCTCTAGGAGAGAAATAACCATATACTTTAAAGATTCATAAATCTTTGAACCAACAAGGCTGGCCTTGAAGGGTGATTATTCACCATTTAAAAGAAAAAAAGAAATCTCTCAAACTTAAAACAGGGATTTCAAAGAAGCCATCAAGCTACCATCTTGGCTTGTGACTGCTCTGAAGGAACTAATTCTGAGAAAACAGAAATCATGGCTGATGCCCTCCACACTGTAATTCTGAGCCATCAGGATGGAAGATTCCTTTCCACCAGAAAAGCCTTTCTCAGAACCTGCACTGAACCACAAAACCTGCTGTGCCACTCCGTAACAACACGGGAGAAAAACATCAACGTCCATTTTTTAACTGCTTTACTTTCTTAGCATTTTGAACTTTGCGCATACGATGGATGGCTACTGTGAACAAAGCACGGAAATGCACAGTGCACATGCACTCCAGCCACGACTGCATGTGCATTTCATGACTGTACAAACGTGGTGTTTCTGTTTTAAAAATAAGTCTGCTTTTGATAAAGACCCATAGCAATGATGAAAACATATACCAATATAAAAACCCAGGTACTGATTTTACAAAAGAAATAATTTAGCTACTTCATGCCTTCATTCCCAAGGAGAAAAAAGCCCTGCTTGATCCTGGGTTCTTATTAAAGGCTGTATATCATGTACATCCAACGATTAGAGCTTTCCAATGGTTAGAGAAAATTAGTAAATTTATCTATGCTAGAGCTTCTGTTCTTAATATACCTTTAATAAAATGTTTAGTCTCTTCATTAAAGACTCTGAACATTATCAAGTATTTCCCATTATGTGTGCCAAAATGATAAATGTGAAAGTACTAGACTGTCAGTTTAAATATAAGTTTAATAATTTTTTCTTTAGGATATTCCTGTACGTAGGTAAAAAGTAGAAAATCTTTCAGAGGAAAAATATATTTTCTAAAGTGATGAGGAAAATGCCAAAGGGAGATTATTATGGTGAAAGATAGGAAAGAGGGAGAGGAAAAGTTATGGAGAGAAGGAGAAATAAGGAAGGGCATACTGCCTATCACAAATTGACACTAATCTGGGCCCGGCGCGGTGGCGCAAGTGGTTAAAGGTCCTCGTCTTGCACGCCCGAGATCCCATATGGGCGCCAGTTCTAATCCCGGCAGCCCCGCTTCCCTTCCAGCTCCCTGACTGTGGCCTGGGAAAGCAGTCGAGGACGGCCCAAGGCTTTGGGAACCTGCACCCGCGTGGGAGACCCAGAAGAGGCTCCTGGCTTCGGATCGGCATAGTATCAACCCGTTGTGGTCACTTGGGGAGTGAATCATCGGACGGAAGATCTTCCTCTCTGTCTCTCCTCTCTGTACATCCGCCTTTCCAATAAAAAATAATAAAAATAAATCTTTAAAAAAACAAAACAAAACAAATTGACACTAACCTAAGCTGATGAGAGTATATTCATAATAATGCAATTTCCTTTAATTTAAAGGAAATATTCTGGGAAGAAATAATTTTCTAGTGCAAAACCAATAAATAAATAAATAGATTTTTAAAAAAAGAATAGGTTATTCTGCAAGTTCCAGAAGGTGCAGATAGAGAAGCAGGGATTAAAGGTGTATTCAATGAAGTAATAAATGAAAACTTCCCTAATCTGGAGAAAGAACTGGAAAACAATATACAGGAGGGCCACAAAACTTCCAACAGAGTTGATCACAAGTGAACCTCATCGTGACACATAATAATCAAGTTTTCTTCAGTTGAGCAAAAGAAAAAAATTCCATAAATGTGCACGTGAAAAAAATCCAGTGACATACAGAGGAACCCAAATCAAATTCACAGCTGACCTCGCAGAGGAAATACTACAGGCCAGAAAAGAATGGAGTGACATATTCCAGATTCTAAAAGGGAAAAATTTTCAGCCCAGAATAACATATCCCCTGCAAAGCTCTCCTTTGTCTTTGAAAATGAAATAAAATTCTTCCACAAGACTAGGTGATTCCATATTGCCATTTTTTTGTGTTTGCTTTACAAAGTGATATTGGTTGGATCCTGCGTGCTCCTCAGGAGCAGTAGGTGGCTTCAGGGGGCTGTCAGGGGTCTTTTTGCCCCTGCCCAGCTGGTTCTAGGGACTTGGGCATGTAGGCTTACATAGGGAATGGGCTATGGCACAAGTGAGGCTGAGTGGAAACGCTGGGGGACATCAATGGCCAAGGCTACCATACTTTCAGGTAAGCAAGGGTGCGGAGTCCAAGTGGTTTGGAGGGGAGAACGGGAAGATCTTTAAAGGTCAGTCTGTTCTCTGTCAAGAGAACATTTTGAAGTATCATTTGTAGGGCAGGTTTGGAAGAGGCAAATTCATGGGAAGAACATCCCAGTAAAATGACAACAGAACACTAATGCATGTAGCATAATGTATGTATGTACTAATGTAATATAGCTGTGTAATGGAGACTGTCATATCTAGTAACATGTCATCTAACTTCATGGCATTACAAATTTCTATTTTACTTTCTATTGTTGATTTTGTATTATGACTTTTTATTTAAGGGGATGTACGGTAACTGTGAAATGGAGACTAACATCCAGATGTGAGGACACAATGAAGTATGCATTTCTATTTCCAGACAAAGATGGACTTACAACGAAACTGTTTACTATATCCTGACAATAGGATGCTGGACTCTCTGCCATTGTCCATGCCCACAATGAAGGACATATGACTGAGTATGAAGAACTATATTTTAGTAATGATATAGAGGAACTACGTGGGGGGAGGGAACTGGGGAAGGGATAAGGGAAATGCTAGGAGCCTATGGAACTGTATCATAAAATAATAATAATAATAAAATGTAAAAAAAAAAAAGTCAGTCTGAAGCACCAGCACATATGGGAGACCTGAGCTGTTAGCATCAACCATCACCGAGCTCCACTCACCGGCACACACCAAAGCCAAGGTTGGAGCCTACCAGACAGGGCAAAATTACAGTAACCACTAGTGAGAATTGGATTAGGAGAAAGGTGAAGCTAGGATGGGCCAAGATAATAACTAATGCATGAGCGATTTGGGTCTTGTGGCAGAATCTGTGGGAGATTAATGGGCTCACCCCTACAGAACTGCAATCTCTGCTGGCACGGCCAATAACTGTGGATGGGAACAGGCTTGGCTGGGGAGCTAAGGAGACATCCCAGCTGGGTTGGGAATCCCACTGGTGAGCAAGAGGGCTGGACTGAGGGTAGCCGGCTGGGCTGGCCATGGCTAGAGCCTCCCTCAATGTGGGTGTGGACTGGGACTGGGGAGTGACAGACTGGTCTACACTTCAGCACCCACAGGTACTCCTGAGCACCAGAGTGAGTGTAAAACAGGCTGGGCTAGGTCTTGATGTCCACTGAACTATATGAAAACTGTCTTGGCATAAACCAGGCTGTAACACCTAATAATAAGAACCAGAATGGGTGCTGGGCAGTTGAGCAAGGCCACTGTTTCTGCCAGGACAAGAGGTGAACAAAACTAACCTGGGCCAAGGACCCACTGGTGCACATGAGATCTGCCACTGGAAGGAGATCTGACAGAGGATCCTGGGAAACACCTTTGTAGAGATGCAGTCCATTCAGATGAGTGCAAGAACCAAGCCAAGGAGCAGCCCTGACCATGTCAGGTTAAGGTACCCGCCGGCATACATGTGGGTCAGCTTTGGGGACAGACCAGGCTTGGCCAGTTCACAACATCCACTGGCAGATCTGAGAACTGGGATAGGGTCTGGGAGGGGAAAAGTCAGTCCGCAACGCCAGCCAGCTCACACTGGGGATGCTAAGGTGAGGTGAGCCATGTCAGCCTGGGGTCTGTTGGAGCCGGGTTCATGAGTTGCAGAGGTGCTGGATCTGGTGGGGCTCAGGTCACCTGGCCCGGGTCCTGGAGCCACCTGCGAGGTGGGTGTCAGGTTCGTGATCCCCAGGTGTGGGGCATCTGGCAGGACTTGGATCACCTGGCCCGGGTTCTTGGACTTGTCTAGCAGTGAAAAAGGCAGAGCAGTGGACACAGACCCTGATGCACATGGAGAATATGGCAGCTCATTTGGTACCATCATAGAGGAAGGAGAACAGAGCAAATTGGACAACTACCCTAGCAAACAACGACAGCAAAAATCTGGGTGAAGGGAGACTTGAAGTAAACTACGTCAATCAATGGACATTGGGAGAGTTGCCTCATCCTTGGATCGGCAAAATCGATAGCATTTTAGAACTATCCAAACCACTTAGTCAGAACCTTCAGAACATGCTCTACAGCAGGTCCCTGGCATGATGCTGGGGGTGTTTTCCCATCCCTGTACTGGAACATTTGAGAGGATAGGTGCGACTTTCCCCTTTAACACCCCTCTTCCCCCAGAGACAGGAAGAAATAGAGAACTTAGAAACAATTACTCATCCACCTTTCCCTAACCCTCAATCCTTCCCACTCTGGTCAACGATGTAAACATCATAAAAAATAAAAATTAAAAAAAGTGATACTATCAATATTTGATATATTAAATCAATACTGGCATCTGCACTTTAATAATGATAAAATCCTACTTGCTTCCATATGTATGAAAGCTGTAGGCAGCTGAAAAAGATAGGAATTTTAGGTGTTCTTAAACTCCAGTAAAGAAACTTTCTCTCTCCTTCACATCACTAAACAGAGTACAACAGAACAATCATACTTACTTCGCAATTGGATACTCCCACATGTATCCTGAACCTCCGTGAAGTTGTACACATTCATAAGCCACTCGATTTTGTAACTCAGATGCCCTAAATGGTCAAAAAAATAACCAAAAAAGGAAAAATTGACATGGATTTTCATTGATGCTTTATGATCAGAAAAAGTTTGTGAATATTTAAATGCACACATTCATCAAGCAATTCAGAAAGCATATTACATAATCACCAGACATAAGAAATATTACATATGGATGAACTTTCAAGAGAATACTTCACTCCAAAAATACCTATTCATAAATTATAATTCTGATTGAGGTTTTTGTTACGGCTCGCAACAAAATGTGGAAAACCTAAATGTGCCAGGTTTTGGTTATTTCACACTTGAAAAGGATGACTTTTTTCCATTTGGCCTAGCCTTAGTTTCTGTGTGATCTGTAACTGAAGGTTACAATTCTGAATTTCAGCAACTGAAAAAATTCTTACTGTTTTGACTTTTCAAAGAAATAACTAAAGGTGAAAATTAACTGAGAATAAAAATATAAGATGTGAAATTATTAATGTGTATATCATCATATGGAAAACTTAGTAAAAAATTATTCGGGCCCAGTGGCGTGGCCTAGCAGCTAAAAGTCCTCGCCTTGAATGTGACAGGATCCCATATGGCCACCGGTTCTAATCCCAGTGGCCCTATTTCCCATCCAGTGCTGCTTGTAGCCTGGGAAAGCAGTCGAGGACGGCCCAAAGCTTTGGGACCCTGTACCTGCAAGGGAGACCAGGAAGAGGTTCCTGGTTCCCGGCTTCGGATTGGAGCAGCACCGGCTGTTATGGTCACTTAGGGAGTGAATCATCGGACGGACGATCTTCCTCTCTGTCTCTCCTCCTCTCTGTATATCTGACTTTGTAATTGAAATAGATAAATCTTTAAAAAAAAATTATTCAGCTGGTGACCTTTGTGGCAATTTGGGACACCTCCCACACCCAATACGTGAGGTTAGTTCCAGTTCTGATTACCCTGCTTCTGATGGAGCTTCCTGCTATGTGCGCACCCAGAAGACACTCACAGTGCTTGCCACCCACATGGGAGACAGGGTGGAGCTCCTGGCTCCCTGTTTCAGCTTGGCCCAGCTCTAGTTACTGCAGTCACTAGAGAAGTAGAAATCACAGGGGGACGACTCACTCTGCCCCCTCTCCGCCTAAAATCAATGAGTTAATTTAAAAAATTATTTGGACTTTCCTTACCTCTCCTCCTCTTTATAATAAATATGATAAATATAAATACAAATATAATAAATAATAATATAGACACAATAAATATGAAATGCCTTTCAAATAAAATAAATCTTTAAAAAATGCTTTTGGGGCTATTATTCCTGTGTTTGAATATACAAGTGCGTGTTTGTATTGTTTAATACGAACTCCTTGAGAAAAACAACTTCTCTGAGCCATCTCAACAATTTTACCATTAACACACCTAACATGACAGAGAACTGGCAAGAATTTTATTGGCCTTAACATGAAAAAACAGGTTAGTGTAAAATGCTTTTCTAATTACTTTTCAATAGTGAGAAGTAAAAAAAAAAAAGGTAAATACAGATATATTTTTTTAAAAAGTAATTTTAAACTCAGGTCATGGGGCAAATGAGGATGTTCCTAAAAAACACAGTAATAATATAATGATTAACAGACAAGATTCTGCAGGTAGTGATATTTTGGAAAATTATATACACATATACATATGTATATACATACACATATATTTGCATTTGGCAAGTAGATAATGGTATTTCTACAGATCTAAATTTTTGCTTCCTCTGCTTCAGTGCTAATTATCAATATGTTTAAAAAGCTAATGAAGCTAACAGCTACTAAAACTAGTCTTTTTAAAAAAAGAAATCTAAAGAAATGGTTTACGTTTTTTCCCATTGGTCAAACAATTTGCTGTAAGTGTAAACATAAAAAGTCTCCTCCCAACACCCAACCTGGCGGTTTGTCACTGCAGACTCTTTATCTAAAGCACTATTTGTCTATTTCCCCTATGTTAACTTATAACTGAACTGAAAAGAAGTTAATGAATAATGACAAGAATTTTTTCCAGGTTACTTTTGGGTTAATGAGATGTGAGAATGTTTTAAACAAGAAGAATCCAAATCCACTTTCAGAATCTGATTTAGATTGCATGTCCTTGTATGTTAAAATACACAAAAGCTTCATGGGCGAGTCTTTTAACTCATTTTTGTACTATTGCTAATCATCATGAATTCAAATGAAAATGTTTCAGAATTTAACAGAACATGTTTTTCTTTTCATTTAATAAAGCATGAATAACTTTTACTCGAATTGTCAATTCTTCAAGATTGTTTTCTCCTATGTGGAACACAGTCTAAGTAGAAAAATCTGGTTGAATAGTCAATTCAACAATAACAAAGAATTATCCCAGAGAGAGTTCAACTTAATTGCAGTCATTTGATGAAAGAATCAGGACTCCATCTCAAGACATCTAAGTGTTCTCTCTCAGCCTTGCTGCTTTACTGCTCTTCAGATAACCCGAAATTAAACTAGAACTTCAGTAAACTCATTAGTCATCCTACCTCAGTCTCTTTGTATTTTATTTTTCACAGCAAATTAAGAATTAAATACAAGCTCAACTTAATTTTTAGCTGCTGATAAAAGGGCTCACTGTAATTTTCAGCATTTTTTTAAGCTGACTCCCATTGCTGCTTTTCCGGCTCACAGCCTTTCTTTATGACCCTGTAGGTTGTGTTTAAAGTTGGCCCAATGCCCAGTCTCCACACATTTCTAACAGCCGGAGCACACATACCAGTATTTCGCCATGGAAGCAGTGGCAGAGTCCAGACGTTTCTTATCATGTAGCTCGAGACAGCTGTCCACAAATGCTCTGGTCACACAGATGTCCGTTTTTAATTCTGCTAGTTTATGCTGCACGGTCTTCAATTAAAAGGAAACAAAAGAGTATATTAGAAGTATATCACTTAATATTTTTATCTCTATATATTAAGTACCTACTGACTAGAATAAAAAACATAATGAAAAGGTGTTTGGAGTAAAAGTAAAGTGGAATTGTTGTTTTCGCCTCCCCAAAATGGGAGGGAAGGCCTGTACTAATCAGCAGACGTTTAAACAACACTGTATTTTTATGCTAAGGAAATGTCTATTAAAATATGAATAAATGAATAATACTTCATTTTTTTTTATTCCAAAGCATAGAATGAGTTGGGCATTTGGCATAGAGATGAAGCTGAATTTAAGTCCTAGCTCTGTTTCTGACTCAACTTCTTGCTGATGTGTGCCCACTGTGGGACCTAGGATTTCGGTCCCTGTCACCTACATGGGAGAGCCAGATGACGTCCAGGCTCCTGACTCTGAGCCAGCCCTGGCTGTAGGCATTGGGCAGTGAACCCCAGGGAAGAGAGATTTATTTTTGTCTGTCTTCCTGTGTCTCTGCCTCTTAGCCTTTCAATTGCAATGACAATAAACCAAGATTACAGGAAGCTGCTCTTTAAAAATAGCTTTGCTTTAATGTGTGAGCACCATCTTGTGGCAGACCTTTAGCTACAGCAACAGAAAACACTTTCCCCCTAAAAAATCTTCAAGATTGATTTCTCTGATGAAATTAAGCATTCAGATTTCTCCGTTTCACCTCTTTGTCTTGGGGTAAAACAGTAAAATAATAACCTGGGTGGGCAAAGTGGTTCTAGATCACTTTTTTGCTCATAAGACAACAAATTAAAGTATCTGCTGCATGTTTTCTAATACTGCAAATACTTAGATTTGCAGAATGCCACAGAGGCATAATGGAATCAGAGCACTAGAGAAGCCAAGGTCCTTGTCTCCGTCCCATCCCGCTCAACAGCTTATCCAGTTTGTTCACTACCTTGAATTAATGATCTAGGATTAAGTCATCAGGATACAGTTGAAACATCATGGAAAAACAAAACAAAAGGTAAGTTTATTTTGGAACCTGTGCATAGTTTTGTTGTAAAACACATTTCCTATGAACCTTCTGAGGATGCTTCAAATGTCTACATCCTACCCTCTCCTGCTGGCCATGGACAACCAATAATACTGTAGGAATGTATTCTGTTTAGAACATCTTCAGCTCTTCTCGCCTGCTCTCACTTCAAGTTTTGTTTCACTCCTGTCTCTTGAACGTGTTTTTCTGTTCTCTTTGATACTCGATTCTTGAAGTCCTTCAGAAAACAGACTTAGACTTCATAAGCCAGGTTTCCACTTTAGCTAACCTCCAGAAGTACACTCCATTCTAAAAGACTTTGTAAGTTGAAGGTCCACCCTAGTCTTCTAGCTGTATCTTCCTTCTGGAAATTCACAAAGTTCAATTCAGGCAAGAAATGAGCAAATGACCTGAACAGAGATTTCTCAAAAGAAGAAACACAAATGGCCAAAAAGTGTAAGAAAAAAAATGCTCAATATTACTAGCCACCAAGAAAACACAAATTGAAACCACAGTGAAGTGTTCTTATTTCAGTCAGAACGGTCACTGTCAAAAAAGACCAAAACAAACAAAAAAACAAACAAAACAAAACAAAAAACCAACACACTAAAAAATCCCCGTAGGGATGAAGAACAAAGGGATCCACTGTACACCATTTGGATATTGTGGAGAAGAGTATATGGAGGCTCCTCCAAAATGAAAACAGATCTACCAAATGACCTAGTTATCCCACTTCTGGATGTATGCCTGAACAAAATTAATTCAGCATACAAAAGACACACTCCATGCTCATTGCAGCATTATTCACAATAGGCAAGATATGAAATCAAGCTCTATCTGTTCATTAAAGAATGAATGAGTAAAATAATGTCTCTCTCTCTCTCTCTCTCTCTCTCTCTCTCTCACACACACACACTACAGTATTTGGCCATAAAGAAGATGAAGCCCTGATATTTGTAGCATAATAGAACTCAGTATCATCGGGTAAATTGAAATAAGTCAAGCACAAAAAGACGAATGCCTGTTCTCTCACACATGTGGAAATTATTATTACACATATTCAATTCAAAATTTTTAAAGTGATTTCTAGAACCAGACAAGAGAATGGGGCAAAGTGTTGAGGCAGGCTGGATAGCAATGCTTAAACAGTAGGGCAAATGTAACAGGTTCTGGTAATGAAGTATAATAACTTGCATAAAGAACTATAACAGAGGAACTCACACATACACACACACACACACACACACACACACACGATAAGAAAACTGAAAGCAGGTTTCCTGGTAGTGCTGGTTTAAATTATGTATATGTGTTGAAAAGCTTCACTGTCCCCCTTAGAAATGCTCAAGTACTATATGTTTAATCAAATTTTCAAAACTGAAAAGAATACAGATGTTTGGCTGTAGATCTAATGAGTGAGAAATTCACCATGACAGACACCATTACATATGGAAATTGGTGACAAAGTGGTATAGTGAAAGACAAACTGGAAATTAAACACACCCCATGTATATTCTCCAAGCATGGTGGAAACAGATTCTCCAAGGATGCTGGCCCTCCTTTCACTGCTGCACACAGCAATCTACAAATCACAAAGGAGAATCTTTCCATACCACTGATGACAGTTTGGTACTTCCATTTTATGAAAATCCAAGAATGGTACAGTATAATGACACCCAGGAATTGACAGCACCACAGCGTGTCAAGCAGAGGAGCAGCTCTGAGAGAATTCCTCAGAAGTGGCTCATCATTGAAGTGTGTTCATGAATAACCACTGCGGGGAGCCAGAGTTGCAGTGCTGTGAGTAAAGGTGTCTCATTGGGACACTGGCATCCCATACTAAAATGACAGTTCAAGTCCCAGCTTCTCCGCTTTCAATCAGCTGCCTGCTAAAGCACCTGGCAGAGTATTGCAGGAGGGTCCAACCTTTGGACCCCTGCATGTTGGAGACCAGGTGGAGTTCTGAGTTGCTGGTATAAGCCTGGCCCAGAATCACTACTATGACCATTTGGAGAGTGAATCAGCAAATGGAAAAAAAAAAATCTCTGTTGCTGCTTTTCTGTTACTCTATTTTCAAATGGAGGAAATAAATGCATTTTTTAAAAGACAAAAGAAAAGCAAGTCCTTCCCTTGGCTTTCTCCTATTTTCTTACAGAAACAGAACGACCTGGCATGTTATGATTACTTAAGGGAAATACATACCCTGTAATCTGTAAAAGTTTCCCACTTCGACCCTATGAATTTAAGTTTAATCACAGAAGATATAAAGATGGAACAAGAGATGGAAATAATACGAAAATAATTTACATATTGAAAAACTCTGACCTAGTTCAATGATACTGTCTACAAACTTCATTTGAAAAAATAAAGGGGAAACTGACAAATCTTAAAATACTTTTGACTCCAGATGATGCCATATTTGAGGATTTATGCATATTTACAACATGTCAAGATCACGACCTCTAGACTTGATTCTCTTAGAAGTCATTCCCAACGTGAATGCTGAAAATTTCTAGAAGATGAATTTAAATTTCAGACCATATAGAATATCCTACAATTTTGCTTCATCTTATCCAGTAAGGTACAGAGATCTGAAACAGCTAATGCCTCTAAGGGTATAATTTACTCTCCTGGTTTTCCACAGAGATTGTTTATATATTCCTGGCATTGAGTTGTACATTACTGAAATGAACTGGACTTTGATTTTCACTCCAAACAATGCATAGTACTTTCTGAAATCATTAGCTCACGGATGGCAACTAATAACCACCACATATTATTAGCAAAGTGCTTTTCATAAATGATCTACATACTTACTGAAGTATTTTTAACAGCTGTTAATATTTTCTAACAAAAATATTACAGCTAGCACTTTTTAAATTCTGAGGTTATTAAGTATACTATAGTCTTATAGTTGTGACTGACAAAATTCTTAGAATTATAAAACTGGATGATAACTTTGACAATTTACTTAGTCTACTTTTCATTCAAAGAATACCACTGATTACATTCTCATATATTATGATTTAAGTAGAAAATAATACAAATTAAGTTTGCTATTGAATCATCACATACTTGCTGTCTTAATAACTATATAATCTCTTTTTGGAGGGATAGAGGAAGCATTATTTTTTTCCCTGTCTTTAAACTGCCTAATGCTCTGTGTCCTCAGAATCAGTTGCATATATCATACAGGAAATAACAAATCATGAGCTATCATTAGGAAAAAAAAATTCCAGGTTCTACCACTGTGATGTGGCAAGCAGACCTGCTCCCTGCAATGCCAGCATGCGATACTGACACCAGCTTGAGTCCCAGTGGGTCCACTTCCAAGTCAGCTCCGTACTAATTTGCTTAGGAAAGCTAACGGAACATGGCCCAAGTGCCTGGGCCCCTGTGACCCACGTGGGAGCCATTAAGAAGCTCCTGGCTCCTGGCTTCGACCTAGTCCCGTTTCGGCCATCAGATCCTTCTGGGAAGTGAATCAGTGGATGGAAAATTCTGTCTCTTCCTTTCTCTAACTCTGTGTTTCCTGTAAAATTAAATAAATCTTAGAAAAATGAAAAATCTATTTTTACTTTTTGCCCATTAGGTGGAGAATGGAGAAAGGAAAAAAGAACAACCAGTTTAAATTTGTGGGCAATAAAAAAGGTGTATGAGTTCAAAGTGTGGGTTTCTGAATCTGAATATCTGTGTACTTTTGAATAAGTTATCTAACTTTTCTCTGTGTCAACTTCAGGATAATTATAATATTTATCCATAGAATTATGACCAAAAAAGTGATGACTAATGTATGCCATGCAGTCAATAAATGATAGCCATTTATTTAATATCCATTTTTTTTTCTTTTAGATTTATTTTTAGTGCAAAGTTCAGATATACAGAGAGGAGAAGAAACAGAAGGAGAGACAGAGAGGAAGTTCTTCCATCTGATGATTCTCTCCCTAAGCAGCCGCAATGGCTGGAATTGAGCCAATCCGAAACCAGGAGCCCAGAGCCTCTTCTTGGTCTCCTGTGCGGATGCAGGATCCCAAGGCTTTGCGCTGTCCTTGACTGCTTTCCTAGGCTACAGGCAGGGAGCGGGATGGGAGGGGGGAGCAGGATTAGAACCAGAGCCCATATAAGATCCCAGTGCTTGAGTGTTGAGGACTTTACCCACCATGCTACCACTCTGGGCCTTTAATCTATTTTATTCTATTCCATGGAAAAATCATGAGACTTGACCTTAATTAAAAAGTGTAATTTAAAAAAAGTGTTCAAAACAATAAACAAAAAAAAGCAGAATGGTTATATGATCATGAAATGATATTCAGCCAAGTCTACTGTGACATTTAAGGTCTTCTATTTCAAATGAATCACCAGAGCCACAGAGTATCTACACCTAAAATATAAAGCTACTGGTACTAACTGGTCATTTCTTTTATCTGAATATATTCCTGGATTGAAATATAAAAATACTGTTCAAAACATTTACTTGGATAAAACATGGATATTAGAAGAAATAGCTCAAACATTTCAGAACATATGTAATTGCATGAGAAACACACTACCACTATTAATATTCTACTATGTAAGACTGGTGTTTCATCTAGCGGTCAAGAAACCAACTAGGATTCCCACACAGGAGTGCGTGGCTTTCAGGCTCAGTTCCGGCTCCTGACTCCAGCTTCTAACACACACCGCAGCTCTGATGGCTCAGGCACCTGAGTGCCACCATCCACATGGCAGACCTAGATTCCATTCCTCAGTCAGGAGTCTGGCCCTAATTATTACAGGCTTTGAGTCACAAACTAGCAGTCGGAGCACTATATATCTATCCCTTTGACTCTTCAAAAACAAACAAACAAAAAATGGAACAAACCCGCCAAGTCCAAAAGTTTGAAAAGAAAAACTGCTTGTGGAATAAGAATGCTACTGGCACCTACAGATATTTTAGCAAACTGTAAATGAAAGTAAACAAATGACACTTGGAAAAGAACAGAGGTTTGTGTTTTTTTTTTCTTTCATTCTTTCTTTTTTGGCATGAAAAGAATGTAAAGACAATAAACAAATATAATCATGTGTCACCAACAAGGGCCACTCTCTGGAAGGCACCAGGTGATCTTGTACCTGTGTGAACAATGCGGAGTTATGTACACAAACCTAGACAGTATATGCCAATCACTGCACATGAACTTGTAATTATGAAGCTGTTGCTGGCCTAACAAGCACATTGTTTAGCAAGTGAACATTCTGTACAAGTAGCAGCTCTCTCTACTATAAAACAAAAGGCACAACGTGGTAAATACACAAACTGGTAACACAGCCGTCTATTATTACCAGGCACTCTCTGCCTTAGATCGTGGTGGGTGCAATACTTGTATGATTGGTAGCACGGGTTTACTCACATCAGCTTCAACACAACCATGTGAGGAATGTACTGTGCTATGTTACTGGCTCCATCCTGAGCTGACAGAAATTTTTCAGCACCTTTATAATCTTACGGGATCACTACTATATTTATGGTCAGCTATTGATCAGAATATTGTTATGCTGTATCTGGCTACGTTTTAAAATAAATCTTCTCCCCTCACGGAAAAATACAGATCACTTTTCTATTTCCTTCATGGATAAATTTCAAATAATATGCCTTCTGAGTCATTGGCAGTTCAGTCATGTGGGTCATATTATAGTCATCTTTGTTGTGATTCAACATGAAGTCCATAAAAACAGAAAATGCAATTTTCTCCAGGGGAGGAAAATCATGTCTTTTTGGTTTAAATATCACAGCAGCTAAACTAAGGCTGCTGCGGCTTCTCTGCTCATGGTCCAGCTTCCTGCTAAGGCGCCTGGCAAAGCACAGGAAGATGGCCCAATGCTCAGGCCCCTGCCTCCCATGTGGGAGACCCAAATGAAGTTCCTGATTCCTGGTTTCAGTGGGGATTCAGTCAGCAGATGGAATAGCTCTCTCTCCTCTACCACTCAGTCTCTAGCTCTCTAACTCTGCCTTTCAAATAAATAAATATTTTTTAACAAAAATTTTCATTTTCTTTATAATTTTTATTTTTTTAAAGATTTATTTTTATTATTTTTTCATTGGAAAGGCGGATATACAGAGAGGAGAGACAGAGAGGAAGATCTTCCGTCCGATGATTCACTCCCCAAGTGAGCGCAACGGGCCGATACTATGCCGATCTGAAGCCAGGAGCCTCTTCTGGGTCTCCCACGCGGGTGCAGGTTCCCAAAGCTTTGGGCCGTCCTCGACTGCTTTCCCAGGCCACAGGCAGGGAGCTGGAAGGGAAGTGGGGCTGCCGGGATTAGAACCGGCGCCCATATGGGATCCCGGGGGTGCAAGGCGAGGACCTTTAACCACTTGCGCCACCGCGCCGGGCCCTAATTTTTAAAACAAAACTCCAATCGCAGGTTTTTTTTGTTGTTGTTGTTGTTAATGTTGCTTTTTACTGGTGGGATGTTTTAACAATTTGATGAGTGTATTTCCTATAAATTATTCCTTCCTTTAAAAAGAAACTAGAGGGTCTAAAGTTTGATGAGCATATCTGGTGATTGTGGTCATCGTATACTGAGCCCTTCCATGTGTATCTTGAACTTCATGGTAAACAGCCACTCTTACATCCACACATTTATCCACCTGCTTTCTTCAGGCTGAGCACTTACCTCATATTAAAGCTGATGAACAAGGCAAAAGGCAATAAAATGGGTCATGGATACCAGCCAGTAGGCCAGCTATGATCTAGTTAGATGAGTTTCTCACTGTCTCATTTTCAAAGGTCCCCTTTGCTCCATGCCCCCTTTACTCGCTTTTCCTTGAAGGACATTCCCAATTGGTATCTAAGGAAATAAACTGAGTTATCAGTGTGACTACACCGACACCCAACCTTTCCATGGAGAGAGGACCGCTGCTTCTGAGCCAGAAAGGTTTATCTCCTCTTTTGTCAGTATCAACACCCTCACACTTTCTCAGAGTGTAACTGGTCAACCCCTTTGTATCTAACTCTTTCCCTCTACTAAAAGTTTTTTCAGGTTATTAGAATTCACTTCAGGGCAGGGATTTTACCCAGTGGTTAAAATATCACTTGAGATCCTGCATCTATATCTGAATTCCTGCTCCTCATCTTGAGATTCCAGTTTCCTGCTAATGCATTCCTGGGAGGCAGCAGGATGATGGCTTACACCCAAGCGAAGCTCCATCTCCAATGAGCAATCTCTTGACTCTTTCTCCTTCAGAGACACTGCTCCACTTCCTCCTGCCTCAAACCTTTCCTCTTGGCTTCTGTGGAATTCTACAGACTTGTTTTCTCCTTTCTTCGATTGTCGATGGCTCTTAACAGGTTCTTTCATTCCTAGCTCATCTTTTCATCTTACGGCTTATCTCAGGACTCGGTCCTATTACTCATGCTTGTATCACTCGCTACTCGTTTGCCCTTAGAACTCTCACAATGATTTCTATGGTTTCCACTATCACTTACGGTGACAATTATCACAAACTTATGTTGTATTTAGTTTCATTTTGGATGAATATGTTTATATCATCTGACAATAAGTCTTAATAACAGGCTTACCTGTATGTGTGCAACTGTCTTCCCAAAAGCTTTTCTTTCTTTCACATAGTTCCGGGTTTCTTCAAACATGAATTCACTGGCTGAAACTGCCAAGTCAGCAATTAGCAACCTTTCCTGCAATAAAATATTAAGTCTAAATTTCACAACTGAATTTTCACACAATTTCAATGACAATAAGCCTTGTAAGGAATCTTTATAGTAAACTCTTATTAATTTATAAATAACTGTTCACAAGGCTACCACAGAAATTTGAGATTATTTTGACATATCTATAAAAACAATTTCCCTCAACAAACCATTAGTTTATGGATTATTATTTTATTATACTTATGTCATTTAATTTCCTCTTTTTACACATGAATAAAGAATTCCTAGTTGGTTTTTATTTACATATATCTGTGTACTGTACCTTTATATATATATACACACACCCACACTGTGCCTTTATATACATATGGAAATCAACACCTTGAAATATATAGGTTAAATTCAGCCTATTAGTGCAAAAGTAGCCTTAGTCAGCTTCACTCTATTGTGTTGGTGATTCTGCACGGTATTTCAGTGCCAGTATCCCCAGTTCTTTCTATAATTTTGTATTTAAGCCATGGCTTGGTAGTCACCAGACATGACCTCTTTATGCTGCCATGTGAGATTCAACCATCACCGGACAATCATACTCTAATAACAGCTAAAACCTTTATCACAACAATTTAAAAACTGCCAAAAATTTTAGGTGACATATGCTTGTAAACAGCCGTAAGTTCATGGAGCAGGTGTTTGGTGCAGTGGTTAAAACACTCAGCTGGAATGCTCACATCAGACTGAAGTGCTGGGCTCAAGTCCAGGCCCCGGCGCTGACTGCAGCCTCCTGTGAATGCACACCCCAGCTGAAGCAGCAGGGAGTCGAGTGACTGCTTCTTGTCTGGGAGCCTTGACTGAGTTTCCAGCTCTTAGATTCGCCCTTGCCCAGCTCTGGCCATGCTGGTCATTCGCAGAGCGAACCAACAGTCACTTTTCTTGCTTCTCAAATGAATATGAATTATTAAATCAGCACGAGCAGAAATGAGAGAACTGAAATACCTACTTTCCCTGCACACTGTATAAGCTTTGACTGGATATTCCTGAGTTCAGTTGTTTATCTAATCCATAAACTTGTAGTTTTAAAAAGGTAATTATTTATTTTTATTTGGAAGTAGAATAGAAGAGGAGAAAGCAGAGGCAAAGGGAAAGAGAGCTTTCTCACCAAATACCCACATCAACCGACACTGACGTAGGCTAAAGCCAAGAGACCAGAACCCATCCGTGTCTCCCACAGCACAGTGGACTCAAGCACGTGAGCCGGAACCTGCTGCCTTTTGGACGAGAGCAGAGCGCCTGGCACTCCGACATGGCAGGCAGGCAGGCACTGCAAGAAGTGACAATCTGATGCATCATAATATTGGCCTCATATATTTTTATTTTAACTTTGTTATGCTCAAAAGATCAGCTATATAAAAAGTTTTGCATGGTTGGATTTATATAGTTCTATTCCCAGGCCATTATCTAAGGAAATGACGGAATCTTTAAACATTTCATACCTGTGGAAGCTCTTGCATGAGGTAATAGAAGCCTTTATTCTCTTCTCCAAGTAGGGCACTCGCTGGCAACCGGACATCTTCAAAGAACAGTTCTGCAGTATCCTAAAAGAATATACAAGTGGAGAATGATCTCATTTAAATTTCACAATAAAACAAGGGGTGACAGTGCTTCTACTTAAGAAAAAAACAAAAAACAAACTAACTGAAAGCCAAGTGGAGTAGTTCATGAACATGATCCGTAAATTGTAAGCTAGGGATTTGAATACGGGTCAATATGGTCCCCCAAAATACTGCAATACAATTTCACATTGTCAGTATGCCTAATATTGACCCTGTTCTCTAATACTGTCAGTTCCTCAAGAACTAGGAAGGATTTCTAGTACACATTAAGCAAAACATGTAGGGTTTTTTTTATAATACCTAGAAAAAAAGTTTCCTATTTTTATTAATTTTCTTCAATAGATTTCATAAATAAGTGGCTCATGTAGTTATTTTTGTCATTTCTAAAGCAGATAATTAATAACTCTAAGTCATTTCTACTGCTGATTAACAAAAAAGTGACATAATTTGCAATAAATCCCCTCTACTATTTCTGAAAAGCACATTTCTAGAATTCAGCACCGGAACGTTATAACTGTCCTGCAGTCATATGCAATCCTATGCCCTCCATTAGTAAGCTCACTAAATATGATTTATATTATGACTTACCTGGGCTTTTAATCCCATTTTATTTAGCTTTTTTCCCTTAATAAACCCTTTCATTCCATCTTCCACCAGGAAAAGGCTGATGCCATGGGCAGGAGAGCGAGCTTCACGGTTGGTGACTGTGACGACAATCACGACATTACTCAGCCATCCGTTAGTGATGAACGTCTGTAAGAGTCCACAGACACCAATGTTCACGACAGCGCAGGAGGACATGCAAACAACTACTGGGTAAAACACTGCTCAAGAAGACTAAAACAAACCAGGGAAAGATGCGTTTCCTCTCTGTATACAGTCTGTTCAGAGTATCTTCAGGGTTAATTTATACAGGTTATTAAAAAGCAAGGGAAGAAGTATCCAATACTTCAAACATTATAAATCCTAATGATAGTTAATAGAGACTATGCTCTGAAAAATATAAAATCATTTGTTAAAGTTGTGTTTTAGAAGGAAATTAAAGAAAAAGCAATCTGTTGTTCTAAACGGTACAATATACTTGAAGTGTATCTGTACTCTCAAATGTGTAAGTTTCTAAAAAGGCACAGTTTTGATTACTACTGATGGCCCATTTCTTTCAAAATAGTGTAATAAATAAAACATTGAGGGAGGCATAAAATAAATACGATGGATTCTCAGATGCTGCATACTCAGAAAACAAAATACACTCACATCAAACAATAATTGTCTTATTCTCCAGCGTTCCTGGATCATCTTAATCACAGCAATGGCTTTAGCTGCCCTAGGATCTACCCGTTTCGGATTCACGGACAGAACGTATTCCTTCTCACCCCTACTCTTATCCAATTCTAAATAGTGACTTATTTACCTGTCTCAAAGTAAAGCATGCTATAATTCTGCTTCATATTAAATTTACCATCCATTTCTTTCTAATTCATTTTAATACTTCTTGGATCTTGGTTGCCCCATATCAAAACTTGTTTAAAGTTCTTGCAACTGATTTCTCTGCAGCTCTGCCATTCTCAAGTATTGAAATTGAGCTTTCAAAATGTGATCTGAGGGCCTGGTGCAGTGGCCTAGGGGCCGGAGTCCCATGTGGATGCTGGTTCTAATGCCAAGAGCCCTGCTTCCCACCCAGCTCCCTGCTTGGGCCTGGGAAAGCAGTTGAGGACAGCCCAAAGCTTTGGGACCCTGTACCTGTGTGGGAGACCAGGAGTTCCTGGTTCCTGCAGCTCTGGCTGTTGTGGTCACTTGAGAAATGAATTAGCGGACGGAAGATCTTTCTCTCTGTCTCTGCTCCACTCTATATATGTCTGATTTTGCAATTAAAAAAAATCTTTTTTAGAAATGTGATCTGATCACATCTCCTTCATACATAATTATTGGTAAATATAGGCAAGTATTTTGCGTAGTGGTTAAGATGCAACTTGGGATGTCTACAGCCTATACTGGAGTGGGTGCAAGTCCCAGTTCTAGACCCAATTCTAGCTTCTTACATCATCCAATTCCTACCTTTCTTAGATAATAATGACCATTTGTGTAATTGCCATAGTTGTATTGCTCAAAATGTTTCTCTTAATTATTTTTCAATCAAACAACACCGTGGATACTCTAAAGTCCATGGTCTCAGACAAGTATTAAATGAGAGACAAATACAATACTGGAATGGAAAGGAAGGGAGGAGCAGTTCACAGGGTAAAAACTATTCACTTCAACACTGTGTAAGAAAACCATTGGAGGGACCCTAATGGCTAAAGTCCTTGCCTTGCAGGTACCAGGATCCCATACGGGCACCAGTTCTAATCCCAGTGGCTTCGCTTCCCATCCACTTTTCTGACCGTGGCCTGGGAAAGCAGTCGAGGACAGCCCAAGGCCTTGAGATCCTGCAACCACATGGAGGAGGCTCCTGGCTCCTGGCTTTGGATTGGCTCAGCTCTAGCTGTTTCAGCCACTTGGGGAGTGAATCAACAGATGAAAGATCTTGCTCTCTATCTCTCCTTTCTGTATTTCTGCCTTTCCAATTAAAAAGATAAATCTTTTAAAAAAAGTTGGAGTTCACCATACATTCCTGAAAGCAGTTACAAAGAGGATGAATAGATTCTCAAATATAACTATAATCACTTGGCCTAATGTGCTTCATTTTTTTTCATAATAAAATCAGAAATCACTGATACAATTATAAGAAGCTTTCCTGTAATGGACTTTCTCAATTTTTTTCCAAGTAATGACAAAACTTGAATAGAGCTAAGATGATCTCTAATGAGTGTTAGATTTCTTTTTAAATTTGGGGGACTTACATGTTAAAGCAACAAAGGTCATTTGACAACATGTATAGTTATAAAGAAAAAAAGAAGCATTTTCCATGAATTCATGATATAAATCACTGTTAAATTCTCATGTATCTTTTAAGAGTTGAAAATATCCTATATTTGCATTCTATATCTTGTTCTTTTCACTCAATATGCAATTATTTTCCTTTATCATTAAAATTTTATGTTCACAGTTTAATGGATTCCTATCAGTTTGGATTTAGTACATTTGGTTACTCGTTCATTTACTTTCAACTGCTTTCAATTTTTTGCTATTCTGATAGAGTCAGTGGTACCTATCTTGAGTGGTCACAGCCATGACCATAACTGAGTAGTTTGGATCTGCTTAAAATCTAGAGACTTAAGAGAAAATGATTTCATTTCACTTTTGACATAATATCCTATTCTTATTTGAAACCAAGGCCTCTACGCCACAGAGAATTAGCTGATGATACAGAACGAATGCCTGTTTACTATAATCCATAGCATGAATGATCAATACTAAAGTTTCATAAAATATATTTGAAGAACACAAGTTACTCAAAAGAGCCATAAAAGCACATTTCCTAGGATATATATGATATACAACATATTTACAGTGAATATCAACATAGCAAAAAATGAGAAGTTGTACATATTTCAAAAAATTATTTGATGTCATAGATTTTAATTTTTTGTATAATAACTACAAAAGTAGATCATGAAATATTCTTTAACCAGATTGCTTAAACTGTGGCCTGCAGCCAGTGTCAGTCCTCAAATTGTTACTAGCCTCTGCTAACTTAGGAGTACTAAGTAACTAGAAAATTTTTGAGTCTCGTGAAATTCACACTTGTGATTTTGTAAATACAAAGGAGTAGCCTAAATCAGTGATAAAATAAAATTTAAAAACATTTAAGTCTTCAAAAAATGTTAGACAATACTTTCACTAACATTAACTCCATAAGTAGTTACTGGGTATATACCAGACATTATCTTAGATAGACAATATCATTTGCCCCAATAACATAAGATTCTAAGAGAAAATGTTTATTCCCAAACCACTCACAACTTTATTTGGAAGAGCTTAATAATTCTCAGAAGTATTTAAGTCTTTTGAATTCTATTACTTACATAATCCTAAGAATCTTTAGAAATTCTTCCTGATATTTATGAGAAAATTTTTTTTTCCACATTCTTTCACCAACACAAAGCTTAACTACTGGCTGTCCCTATTTGGACAAAGTGAGTCTTCCACTTCTCTGGAATGACAAGGTTTTTTGGAAGCTAAACCAATTTTTGCAATATTAGTTTGGGGGCATGCAAAAATGGAATACAGAAGAGGCTACCACCGATCTGAACATAATATAAATATAAAATGGATTTCTAATGTCTCCTTATGTGAGTCCCTAGCTCTAACAGAATCTGTAATGAGTGGCATCTGACACATCTTCACACACATCAAGACCTCAGAGAGAACAGCTACAAGTTCACTTACACACCTTGCTTCCATTAAGAATCCAATCACTTCCATCCTTTTTGGCGTTTGTTCTTACTCCTTGTAAGTCACTGTAATTGAAACATAAAAATCCATCAGTCAGCAAGAATTAAACTATGCAAATGCTGTTACAAAATTGCACTATAAATATATGTATGATTAAAATTATATAAACTATAGGCCTGGCAAGTGCTAGGATCCCATATGGATGCTAATTTGTGTCCCAGATGCTCCACTTCCCTTCTAGCTCCCTGCCTGTGGCCTGGGAAAGCAGATGTCAGATGCCCACGCACTCGGCCCATACTCCTCTCCTTTCATTGGCACATCAGCAAGGTACCACTGGAAGCAGAGTAGCTAGGACTTGAAGCGGCATTGTCATCTGGTGTCACAATTGTTGGCTTAGCCCACAAAGCCATAATTTCAGCTGTCTAATTATCTGCTTGTATGTACTCAGCCCCTTCCCTAATCTCTGTTCAGCAAAAGTTGAGCTATTTGAAGACCCATGTCTCAAATCTACCTTAAAAGCAGAATATCTTTCTAAATATCATATTTATAATTAAAATATTAAAAACAGAAAATATATCAAAAGAGAAAACTATTTTTACTTCCCAGCATCAACATTTTCAAAATATATCCTTTCAATATTCATTTATACTATGGAACATGTATATGTATATTTATAAAATTGGAACAACACAATACTTTTCTTTTGATAACAATATCATAATTTTCGGTAATTTGTTAGCTACACAGACTGATATGATATACTTAAGATTTTTTAAACTATCCATTATTATTGAATACTTAGGTTACACTTTGTACACTTACTCAATAACAAATGAACAATCCATACCAGTTATTTTTGTAAAATTTTAAAATTCTTACTGCATGTAGCTTTTGCATTTTTTTTTGTACTATGGTAGTTTTATTCATTTTTAATCGTTGTATTAGCCTGAACAGTGACCCCTAAAGATATCTGACCTAAACCGCTGAAACCCGCATGTGTTAATTTACATGAAAAACAGGGTCTTGAAGATGCAATTAATTCCAGGTTCTTGATGTGTGGGAGCTTGCTGTAATTATGTAGAGGTGCTCCAAATGCAATCACAAATGTCCTTATAAAAAGAGAGGCACAGCAAGTACTCAGAGACAAAACGACGTGAACACAGAGGCAAGCGGCAGGAACGCTGACAGCCACCAGGAGCCAGCAGAGGCACAAGGCGGCCCTCGCCATCTCCGCACTGGGTTGGACGCTGCGGAAACCCTGAGTTTAACTCAGACACAGATTTTGACCTTTTATACTTCAGAGTTGTGAGAGAATACATTTCCATTGTTTTAACTCATACAGATTGTGTAATCTTGTCACTCAAAGCACAGGAAACTAATACATGCCCTCCAAAAGTTTATTTTACATTGCTGTTGTTAATTAAAAAGTCAAATCTTCCCTACCCATCCCATTCATGAAAATTTGAGGATATGATGGGTATTAAAATCACCTTTCTATGTCCTCTGCCTAGTGTATTTCCTTATATATAACAGCACACCTTTGTTAAACTGCATTATTAGAAAAGCCACGTATGCAGAGACAGCTCAGGAAGCTGGTGACAGCCTTCCTCAGAAAGGCTGGAGTACCACATGGTTCCAGCTGGCGTCTGAGAATGTAGATTTCAGAATAGGTCCTATCATTCCCAGAACTAATATTGTGTGCAAACCCTATGACTTTTAGAAAACTATGCTGAGGGTCCAGCATGATGGCCTAGTGGCTAAAGTCCTCAGCTTGAATATGCCCGGATCCCATATGAGCGCCAGTTCTAATCCCGGCAGCTCCACTTTCCATCCAGCTCCCTGCTTGTGGCCCAGGAAAGCAGTGGACAGTCCAAAGCTTTGGGACCCTGCACCCGCGTGGGAGACCTGGAGGAGGTTCCTGGCTCCTGGCTTCGGAATGGCACAGCTCTGGTCATTGCGGTCACTTGGGGAGTGAATCATCGGATGGAGGATCTTCCTCTCTGTCTCTCTTCCTCTCAGTATATCTGACTTTGCAATAAAACTGAAATCTTTAAAAAAAATAAAAGACGACGACGACTATGCTGTGTAAGATAAAAGCACCTTTCTAAAAGATGGCTTAATCAAAGAGATAAGTAATTTCATCTATTATTGCCAGGACAATAGATACTAAAAGTGAGCACTAAAAGTGCTATGGAATGATGACATCATCATTTTTATCATATTAAGTATAATGAATCAGTTGTTAACACCTGTACCTAGCTGATTCAAATGGCTCTTCTACATAGTGATATAACCAAAGATAACAAAGATAAAGGCATAGTCAGTGTGTACACCACCTAGTAACACAATTATCCTACGATTAGCCTACAACCACTGTCTTAATTTCACTAAAACAGACTTTGAGATGTTAGGCAACACCATGAGTCTGGTGTTAGATCACTCTAGCTTCAATGCAGTCAGTCGGTTATAGGAACTTGGCTACAACACTTCACTGCTTCTCTCTTTTTTTTAATAGAGGGATGTTATTATAAAATTGTTATAGCAAAATGGGTCTATCAACATGAAATCACTAATAAAATGCTAATTTACCAAACAAAAACACATAATAATACATAATAAAACTTCATGTGTATATGGAAGGAAAAATATCCAATGAATCTCTGGATAGTGTTTTTGGAGGCCATTCAAAAGAGAGGACAGTGGCCAAAGCATCTATCGGCAAGTAAATGAAATTTGTCCCATCTTCTCAATTCTTTTCCTCTCACGTGTTTCTCCTTATTTCTTCATCGAAATTCAACATGCTTGGATTTTATTCAGTAGTAGTTTTTCCTTTTCTTTGCAATCTTTTACCTACGTGGATCTTTTCCTTGTTTTTCTAAATCTGATTGGTTTGCAATCCTTGCAGAACTCACCGGACGTCTCAAAATCTACCTCTTTTCTGTATTCTCATTCTTGGCTCCTTTGATTACACACACATAACCACGGATGGAAGCAAGGCATGTACACATATAAGTGCGTCTTTGCTCGTACGCAGAATTCAGCGGTAGATCTAGATCTGTCACACTGTGACCTCCAGGTGAGAACTAACATGTGTGAGCTAACATCAGAATGAGGGTAATCAGCCAGTTTAACTTAGCAAAATTCAAAATAGAGATCAAATTGCTGCTTGTTTGGGCTACATTTGTAGGCAAAGGAAATGAAGGATAATATTTTATTCTTGGAAGTATCAGCCAGTAATAAGGGTTTCCATCCATGATATATAATTTAGGTAAATTGCCAAGTGACACTGCAGATTATTAAGAATTTACAAATGAGCAGCACTGCTAAGAACAGTGGGGCCCAACCCTGTAGAAAAAGCTTCAGATTTCCATACCTTAAGCTCTTCCTTTAAACTTCCTGCTTCCATTGGCCCACAAGGTCTGTTCTCCACCACAAAGCATTGCCTTTACTGTGCCGGCCTGTCACACTAGGATTCCGTTTCACCACCCTACTCTGAAAAACATCATTTTGTGTCCTCTGGCTGTTTTCTCAATAGCCATCTTACTCCATTCCAAAGAAACATCTACTAGATAATATAACAAGAGGGCTATCTGAATACCATTTTTATAGTACTGTTTGATGAATAATGACAAAAAGGTATAATTTTAGTACAGAAACAATTTTTATCTGCCTCAAATATTTTCAACTTCAGATTGAATCCACAGGTTTGCACTTCAGGCATGGGTTCTAAGAATTCAAAACTAACGTGCCCACTGACTTACCTTCCAGCACCAGGCTCTGTCATCGCTATGGCCCCAATACATTTGCCAGCAGTCATCTGGGGGATGAAGCGCTTAACCTGCTCTTCTGTGCCGTAGTTGGCAATGTAGGGCATGACGATATCTGAATGAAGGCTAAAACCCGGACCTGTACAATTTGAATATGCTCTTAGAAAAACAAAGGGAAAACAGTTATTTTGTTCTGTTTTGAGACTGCCTGATTATCAGTTAAAAATGATTATTGTAACAAGAAAATTTTGACCCATTAAAGCCTAAGTTTTCAAGTCTGTGAACATTTCAATATAACTGACAGTGCTGCAAATGTACTACAAGTGATAATTCATTGCGTAAGTTTTTCAGGGTGTCCTGTAAATAAAACAATGAGAAAAAAAGGCTAACTATTATCATAGCCTGTCTTCTCAAAAACATGACTTTCCCAGATGTTATTCTGTTTTCATTAATCTTCTGATTGCTGGTTCTAACATGATAGCAATTTCTGTAACATTCAATGAATAATTTAATGAATTCTTAATGAAATAGAAATAAAACATTTTGAAATACTGAACACTTACAAAACAATCTATTGTTACGATGACAAATTACCTTTTCCATAAACATATATTCTAACATAGACAAAATCATGGTGAAAATTTTGTACCTTTCAGCTCTCTTTAAATTATAGGACATAAAAAAACATCTACATAGTTTTAAAAGCATGATCTTTAGGCCCGAGTGCAACAGGCTACTGGCTAACTCCTCACCTTGCATGCCCCAGAATCCCATATGAGCACTGGATCAAGTCCTTGCAGCCCCTTCCCATTCAGCTCCCTGCTTGTGGCCTGTGAAAGCAGTGGAGTACGGGCCAAAGCGTTGGTAGCCTGTACCCATGTGGGAGACCAGAAGAAGCTCTTGGTTCCTGACTTTGGATGAGCTCAACTCTAACCACTGTGGCCATTTGGGGAGTGATGCAGTGGATGGAAGATGTTTCTCTCTTTCTCTCTTTCTCTATGTAAATCTGCCTTTCCAAAAAAAAAAATAAATAAATCTTTTAAAGGCAAAAAAAATATACACTTTGGTCCAAAATAAAGCTACCTCTCTAATATTTAACAACACCTAATCAGCAACTTAAAAGTGGACTTTTTATCTTTCCACATTTGGGAAACACACAAGAGAACAAATGATATACTGTTTTCACATTTTACTTTAAATTTTCAAACAAAATTGGACAGCATTTCTCAAAATTACCATCTTAGAAATGTGAACAGTTTACAAAAAAGAAAACCCTCAATTTCAAAGCTCTTCATACTTACTGTTCCTCCCACACAATGGCTGATGATAGCAAGTCCCCACCAATGCCACCGCGATGCTCTGCAATGTTGATCCCGAGTAGTCCCTGTTTTCCAGCTTTCTCCCAAAGCTCCCTGCTCACTTCTCCTGCTTTCTCCCATCTGCAAACAACAAATTACTTTAAAAATTATCTTAATGGATACAATTCTAAAACGATGAATGACTGCGCAGAAACGCACCCTTGGGGTAACTGCTGACATCAGCTATGCTCTTCTGTTAGCTTCTGCCTCTTCACCATTTCTCTCTCCCATTTCTGCCTTCCTTCTCTCACATTTGCCACTTCCTTTTCGATTTACTGGAACTGAAAGTGACACTCACTGACTCTCAGGGGGATAGCTGCTCTCTGGTGGGGCTCTTAGACTGCAGTAATTATGGCAGTCTGCTCTGTCTCATTCATAAAGGCAGTTCTCTGCCTGCGCTGAATTTGAAGTGCTGAACTTATGGGAGATGAGAATCAGAGGTGACAAGAGCTGGTGACCTCACCATACTTAATCAGGACCAGAGAGACACAGCAGCTTGCAGTACAGCATTGTCAAATGAACTTTTGGAGGGCTCGGATACTCAGATAAAACAGCAAAACCTTCCTTTTTCTTCCTCATAGATAACATGGTATGAGGGAGAAACAACTATTGGAGGTAGGCATATCTGTCAGTTTGTGTGTGTATCTATGTGATAAATGGTAAGACACTAATTGAAGGTAATTTAGACACCAAAAACAATTTTCAAAGATTAATCATTGTGTATATTTTAATAGCTATTGTCTAAAGGAGCTTTGGAAATATTTTTTATTATTGATCACAAATCAACTTGTATTATTTTTTAGTTCAAGAATTCAACAATTTTTCCGTAAGAAAATGTAAGTGCAGTGAAAGAATAATAAGATTTTCCTGTGACAAAGCACACTGTATTTCGTGTGTTGAGGTAATCATGGCTCGTGAGGGTAGATGATTTTGGTCATTTTTACCAAGAAAATACTATTACAGACTAAATGGAAGCTGTTTTAAAAAACTACTTCAAAATCATTCCAAACATACCACAGTACTGGTACTGAGTACTTTTTGGAAACATAAAATCATTCTATATTAATAGAAATGACAACTGTTTGGTCAACAAAGTAATTAGTAATTAATTAGCTGGCAAATATCTAATAGTAAAAATACTTAGAGGTGGCCATTTGCCTACCAAGACTTGTTCTATGGCAGCCTTTTGAGCTTTTACATATTTTAATTCATTACTGAAGCAGAAAAAGAAAGAATATGAAATTATCTAGTATTTTGCTGTTACTTTTAAAGATGATTAGATTAAGTTGCAGATTCTTTGATTTTTCCCATGATTAAATTGTACATCATAAAATTAGTTTAAAAAGTTATGAACCAATTTCAGAATCTTGAGGTGAAGAGCAACAGAACGCCGTTATTGAAGTACACAGTTTTTGTCCAGTATTCTAGGCATGATTCGTCGTGTGGAATGCAGGACAATGTGTCACTTACTCTGAATGATGAGGAATCACTTCTTCTTGAAAAAATTTCCTTGCACTTTCTCGGAAAATATCGTGATCTGAAGAAAAGATTCTTCTAATTCCTATGTCTGTCATTTTTTTAGCAGAAGGTGTTTCCAGTCGTTCTGCTCCAGAATGAGAGCATCTTAAAAAAAAAAAGTGAATTATTATTCCTCCTATTCTAATCAATGTCAATAAACACTGTGGAACCTTGACTTCCTTCCCAGAGACATGTGGTTTTCCTTGCTCAGCTGGTTCACTTCTCAGTTGAACACAGTGCCCAGGGCTGAGCGAGCTGGAAGCCAGAAGCTAGGAGCCAGGAGCTTCATCCATGTCACCCAGTAGGTGACAGGAACCCAAATACTTGGGTCACTTTCTGCTACTCTCCCCAGGCCAACAGCATGGAGGTACAGTGGCAGTGGAACAACTGGGACACAAACTGGCACCCACACTGGATGCTGGCAACACAGGTGGCAGTTTTACCCACTTCGCCACAATGCCATCTCCTCCTCCACCTAACACACTTTATCAGAGAATAGGGAGATCTTGAAATAACACAAACCTGAATTCAAATTTTTAGCATTAGCACTCTGACAGTCCCTCTCTTACCTTGCCAGGATGAAGTCCTTTGCTGGTAATGTAAATCTTCCCGAATTAGTACTTTATCCAGAATCATACAATCTCATGATGAGTGTATAAGTTGCAAACTGTGTTGATGCTAGTGCCACATGACAAAGCCAATTAAGATACACATCAAGATGCCACTTCCCTGTACTTGCATAGAATTATCCAGTATGTTCAGTTCTGATCTTCCTTCTTCTCATCCAGCCTGTAAGGAGCTTAATAGGGCTTTGTTCTCCAAGCTCCTGGAGATTTAAGCCTCAAAGTCTTACGCTGATGATTCATGAATTAAGGGTGGAGAAGAATTTAAAGAGTATAAAAGGACACCTTTAGGTCCTCAGGGACTTGCCTGTGATAGGCAGTTCTCCTGAGAGCACTGATTACATAATCTGAGCTTGCTTTCTGGCTGGTGACTTGCACCTCTGCACGCACTGTGCTTTTGCCTACCACAACCAGATGCCAGACACGGGGAACCTCCTGGATTTGAACTGTGGACCTCCAATATGTAAGACAAAATATATTTTTCCTTCTCAACATATTCTCTCCAAATACTATAATTGAAGTGATGAAGAGGTAATTAATATACAATCCTTTTCCCTCCCACTCTTCACCTACACGCATCAAACTAAGAATGGGACTGATCTGACTTGTAGTTTTTCAGATTTAGTTTTCCCTAATATACGTGAAGGGAACTTGGTCAGTACAGATTTATGGTATCAAGCTCACATACAAAATGTTTTTGCTTGACTCATAGACTTTATTTACAATTCTCCAGAGCATCGTTTCCTAAGAAATGATGATAAACCCAATGAAACCATAATCAACTGAACTGCCTGTAAACTACTACCAGCTGACTTTATAACCTTGCATTTGCTTAGAACAGCCAAAGTTTTAAATACAGAAAGCACAGAATAAATGAATGGTAACAAGTGGAATCTGCATCATCTAGGGAATTAAGAAGGCAGATTTCTAAAAAGTGTAAGGCACAACACCAAGAGTAAAAGTTCTTACACAACCTACAGTATATATAGCAAAGAAAACTAACTCATAAGAAACACAGGCCCGGAGCAACGGCTCAGTGGCTCAATCCTTGCCTTGTACATGCCAGGATCCCATATGAGCATCAGTTCGTGCCCTGGCAGCTCCACTTCTCATCCAGCTCTCTGCTGGTAGCCTGGGAAAGCAGTACGGGATGGCCCAAAGCCTTGGAACTCTGCATATGCATGGGAGACCTGTAAGAAATTCCCGATTTCTGACTTTTGACTTGAGATCAGCTCAGATCTGGCAGCTGCAGCCACTGGGAGAGTGAACCAGTGCAAAGAGGATCTTTCTCCTATCTCCTTCTCTCTGTAAATCTGACTTTCCAATTAACACAAACACAAAGTCGGCAGGGGGAATGTGGGCTCCCCTGCTGGACACCCACTCCCACTGGAGAGCGTGAGTTGGGATGGGGGCAGACCAGACCAGGCAGGGCTACAACACCTGTGAGCCTCATGTGAGCTAGATCAGGGAAAAGCCAGGCTGGGCTGACTGTTACAACTGGTACAAGCAAAATTAGAGTGGGTGAGGAGTGGCTGGGCTTTGCCACAGCATCAGCTGGCAGATGCTGGCACTGGGGGCTAATTCTGTCAAGTTCAACTGCAAAACCACCTGGAGAGTGCATAATCAGGGAGCGGGAGTAGGCACCTCCCTCTTGGGTTATCACTCCCACTGGAGAGCATGAAAACCAGGACAGGGGCAGGGGTGGCTAAACAGAAAGGCACCTGCCAGTATGTATGTGGGCTGGATAGTAGGGTTGCTTGGGTTGAACTAGGCTTCAATGCCCATTGACATGTATGAGAGCTAAATGCAATGTGGGTCAGACTGAACAAGCCTGAGGTACATACTGGGAAGCATGGGAACTAGCGTAGGGATAGTTCCCAACTAGAACTAGGGGAGTCGCCCCAACTAGGTCACAGCTCCCACTGGTTTGTGTGAAAGCTGAGTATGAAGTGGGCAGGATCAGGCTGGACTGCAATATCCATTGGTTCGCATGGAAGACAGGGCTGGAAATGGAGTTGACCCAGCAATTACAATGACCAGTATGTGTATAAGCTGACTGGGGAGACGGACTGTGCCAGACCCTGTACTGGCAAGCACACACAAGAATCAGGTCAGGGATCATCTCAGACAAAGTTTCTTTGGAGATCCTTCCAACTGAACTGTTGATCTCAGAAGGGACTATGTCAGCCAGTGGATTTTGAATAGATTTCATTGTGATTGGAAAGGCAAGATCAGCAGCAATTCAGAACTGTTGAACTATCAAAACTGCTTGAGCAGGAGCGTGCCTCACATCAGAGACCTGGGATGGGTGGGAGGCTGGGTGGGGCTTCTCCCTTTTTTTCTCCCCTGACCCCAGATACAGGGGAAAATTGATGATATTAGTTTGGAAACAATGGTCTTATCCACTTTCCTGTATCCCCTGATCTTTTGTACCCTAATCAACTAAGTAAGATTATAAAAATAAATAAAATAAAATAAATAAAAAGAAAAATAGCAAATAGAAAACCAAATACTCTTTAAAAAAACATGAGAAGCTTATTATAAAAATATTGTGACAGCCCAGACAATAGAAAATGACAACAGTAAGGTTAGGTCTTCTACTAAAATACCTTACCATGTTCTAATTTTTATTTAAATTGCAGCATTGCTCAGTATTTTCACCAATCAGCTGCCTTCCTGGTGACCGTAATCTTGTTCTTTTTTTTGTTTTTGTTTTTTTTTTTGCAATCACTGGGTGAAGAAAGTCTAGAACATCTTCAGCACCGTATCTTGCTCTTTCTCCTTGTTTAGCACACTTTTTACACATGTTACATCCTGATCTTCTGGCCTAGTTCATGTTACTGCAACTTTCACACCACCAGTTCTGAGCACTGAGTAAGTCTCGGCTTTTCTTTTCAACTGTCTTTCCTCCTTCAGCGTCCCTAGGTTTCATCTTGGCTTCAGTTGTTTTTTTCCCAACCACACTGATTACAACTGGCTCTTCTAGCCAAGTTTACATTTTTGCATTTTTTTTTGGTCAGGAAAAATCCAGTCCCCATTACTGACTTGGAAATTCTTGCTTGACATCCTGAATGCCTCCACCTCAGCCAGTCAATAGATACATCTTCTAAAATATTTTTATTGTACATTCAAATACTGTCAAAAGATATTTTCTGATTTACATTAAATTGTGATTTAGAGTTCTTTCTTCTTTAGTTGGATTGTTTTTTTCTTTTTTCTGTATTTCTTCAGGAAAGAACTATTTCATGAAATTAATCAGAAAAGACCTAAAGGCTTCCCCCCCACCCCCCAGTTTCTAACTAAACACTGCAACGTTTCTAAGATGCTCCTAAGTATAGTAAATTCACTTAATATAATATTAATCAGACTTGTTTAATGGTATTTAGGAGATTTTAATCATTTTTCCCCCCCAAACGAGGTTATTTTGTTCTAGTTTGACTTATGGACTGAATTATGGCCTTTACATGTTGAAACTCTATCCATATCCTGGAAATGTAATTGACTTTGGAGACAAGAGACTTTGGGAGGTAATTAAGGTTCAATGCATTTGGAAGGGTGGAGTCTTAATCCGATATTATGGGTGGCTTTGTAAAATCTGAGTCTTCACCACCCAGGCATGAGGAAAAGGCTGGGTGAGCTCACAGTGAGAGAGGGTGGCAAGCTGGAAGTCAGGAAGAGACCTCACCAGGAAAGAAATCAGCTGACAACTTGACCTTGAGCCTCTCAGGCTCTAGAACTATGAGAAATAAGCCTGTATTGCTTAAGTCATCCAGTTTGTGTCTCGTTTTTACTTTGGCAGTTGAAGTCAACGCTGACTATTCATTTGGTGTCATTTTCAGATGTCCGTATTCCTCACAGGAGCGATTGGGTTTGAGTTCCAGTTTCACTTCTGATTCCAAATTTCAGCTTCCTGTTAGTACGCATGCTGGGAGGCAGCAATGGATGGCTGAAGCAATGGGTCCTCTCCTCTGATAAGACAGACTTGGACTGAGTGGCCAGCTTCCAGCCTCCACTTGGCCCAGGCTGAGCCTCGTAACCATTCAGTGAGTGAAGCAGTGGATGGGAACTTGCTCTCAAATAAATGATAAATTAAAAACTAATCGGGCGTGGCGTAGCAGCTAAAGTCCTCACCTTGAACGCACCAGGATCCCATATGGGTGCCGGTTCTAATCCCGGCAGCTCCACTTCCCATCCAGCTCCCTGCTCGTGGCCTGGGAAAGCAGTCGAGGACGGCCCAAAGCCTTGGGACTCTGCATCCATCTGGCATACCCGGAAGAGGCTTCTGGCTTCAGATAGGCATAGCACCGGCCGTTGTGGTCACTTGCGGAGTGAATCATCAGACAGAAGATCTTCCTCTCTGTCTCTCCTCCTCTCTCTATATCTGACCTTCCAATAAATAAATAAATCTTTTTAAAAAAGAAAAACTAATCTGGGATGTCTTGCACGAGGTACTTTAGCTGTTGACATTCGGTAGTAATTTTAAACTTTCGCCTTCATACATTTTTCTGGTCACTATCCTGTCACTTGTAATGGCTTATTCCCTGACTTAGTTAATACACACTGAGTACCCAATATGTTCACCAGCATTCTCTAAGCTTGGGCTACATCTGTCAACACAACATAGACCTCTGTCCATGTGCTCACATTCCAGCAAAGAAAGACTAAGAGATAAATGATAAACATGGTAAGTAAGCAAGTTGTATAAGAAATTATTATTATGGAAAAAAGAAATAAAGGAATCTGAGACACAAGTTGCAATATGAGATAGAGCAGCCGGGTAAGTTAAAGTAGAAGGTGGATATCTAGGCAAAAGTTAAAGGTCACAGAATAATCAAAGAACTTTAGGACCCCCAAAAAATTACAATAAAGATTGCAATTCTGAGACCATGTGTTCTAGAAAGACCAAGGAAGCCAGGTGTGGCTGGAATGAGATGAACAGATAAGTGGGAGGTAACAGGACATGCGAGGCTCTTACAGATCACTGCCTAGGTGGATCAGATAGAGTATAACTTACTTTATCCCTACGACTGAAATTCTTGGTTCCACTTTATTACTAGTGCAACTCTAAAGCACATATGTGTGCAAATAGTTTTGTTCACACTTGACATTTGTCTGTAAGCAAAAAATACGCTGAGCCTAGGAAACTGGGACTCTGGGACACCCAAGTCAGCCTGTGTCTTACTATTTTATCTCCCATTCAGGAAATCTTTGGACTATTGCTAAGTAAAACAGACTCAGAAAGAGAAAAGCAAAGGAAGCACCGAAAAGAAAACAGGCTTTCCAGTTAGTCAACACTGGTTAAAAGGCCAAGGGATGAAAATACAAGCACAGGTTTCTCTCAACACCTGTTGCTCATTCTAAAGACCAAGAAGCTTTTACTGCACCAAATGGTCTGCTTTGACTCCTACAGGCCAGGATCTAATTTTGTAAGTTTCATTTTACATTTTAAAAAAGAAACAATCTCCCTCAGCACACTTTCTTCACACCTGAGAGTTGGTAATAAATACAGCAACTCAGGCCTTAGCACTGAATCACAGCTGCTATTTGTAGAAAGTATCCAGAGTGATCTATACACATCCTGGAGTTTAAAAAATAGGTGACAATAAAACGTCAGCTCCCATCCCACTCGGGAGCCCCTCAGGTCCGCCCTTGTCCAAAATTATTTATGTGAGGGTCAATTTCTTACTCATACTTCAAACAAAATATGAGACTATGGCTGTATCAGGCCAGGCCTGAAGGGTCTTTTGAAAATGTACATGTCACTCTCCTTTTTTTTTTTTTTGTTTAGGAAACACTTTTTCACATAAAGGTTGTGCTAAAAATATCCACCTGTTACGTTTGCATGAAGTAAATCTTTTGTAACTTTTCTCAGTTTTGTGACCATCTCTATTGATAGAGGTACTAACCTACCTGAACAGTTCTTTAATTGTGAGAGCAGAAATAACTCCTGATACAAAAGAACTTTGCAATCATGATTTTCTGATGTGCTAGGGATCAAGTTTAAGAAAGTGTGTGCATTCTGAGGCCAGGCTCCCCTCCTTCCAGAAGCCTTCCCCAACTTCCCTGGGAGGTTTGTCATCCTAGAACAGCCTCTTTCCCACAACGGGGTGATTCAGTTAATTGACCCGAGCTGCCAACACGATTAAATTAACACATCCTTCGTGCTTCGAGGTTGCCTACCCAATGAATGGGTTTAAACACCACCTTAGTAGTCACTAAGCCTCTTGGAAGCTGTCTCCAGTAATTCCTTGGCATTTAATTAAGTACGGGATTTTGTAATAAAACTAAAGCCAATTTTCTTGTCTGATGGGGCCCTCGCCAGTCATTTCCACCCAGGACTGTCTGCTGTGTTTCTTTGTGACCTCGGCTCGCGGCTGCACGACAGACTCCCAAGTCCACGATCAGGTGGCTGTCCCGCGCCACCGTGGTAACTGGGACAAAGGTCGTGGACGCTCCGCCGCGGCGACCACTCGCCCCTCCCCAGGCCATTCTCGAACACGCTCCCACGGCAGGCCCGACCCTTTCGTGAAAACCTCTTCTTTTACCAATGGAGGCGGGGGAGGGGGGCAGCAGCCCGTATCAGGGGCGGCATGCTGACACCCCCTTCCTCCGTGCCAAAGGTGGTCGCACCCAAGTTCTGGGAGCAGCAGCCCGACCCTTCTCCTCCCACCCGTCCCGACCTGCCACACCCACAGGCGCGCGCGCTGCCGGCTCTCCTCAGCAGGGCTCCGGGCTCCACAGCCCCAGAGAAGCGGAGGCGGACGCCCAGTCCCGCCAGTCCCCCCTGCCCGCAGGAGTCGCGGCCGCCACTCACCTCGCGGCGAGCGGAGGGCACGGCGCACAGCGGCCGCCCCAAAGGCGCAGGGAGCCGCGGAGCAGGAGACGCGCGGCCATGGCCGGCAAGGCGAAGGGCGGCCTGTGCTGCGGTGCGGCTCCTCAGGCACTCCCCGCGGGCACGCCCGGGCGCCGGTGGACCGACTCTCCGCGGAAGCGTCCAGCTGTGTGCGGTTGACTCTGCTGGACCCGAGCGCGAGCGCCGCACTTCCGGAGCCCTGAGCGGTCCGCCCCCGGGGGTGGAGTGTTCGCGGGGCAGCGCGCCCCGGAGTCTTCCTCAGAGTTCTAGAAGTGCTGAGGTGAGGGAGGTTTCTGCTTTCTGCCTTGCTCCTGCTTGTGTAAGGTTCCAGGGTGCCCCCAGACCCAGAAACACCGACGTTTCCCTCAAGTGTATTTTGTAACTTTAAAGGTTGACTGATTTCACTGCTGTTTACTGCCTTGAAAGAATTGTACCGTTATTTTTATCCCCCTGCAAAAATTAGGGACTGCAAAGAATTAAAGAATCCTGAAAAGAATTAAAATACGTATCAGTGTGCCAGTAAAAAACAAAAAACAAACAAACAAAAAAAACACGTTAATTTAGTTTTCCAATAGTATTGAATTCGTACCTTGCTAATTCTCTTTGACTCAGGTCTCGCTAGCGTTGACAGGACTGACCTGAGAATTGTAATTTCTTTTTTTCTGACAGGAAACATCTCTTTTTGAACTCTAGAGAATGTGTGCAGAATGGATGTCTAAGAAGGTAAAGTACAGTGAGGCCTTAAGATAATTCTAGGAGTCAAGGCTAGTTACTGGGGGGGGGGGGGAGGATGCTGAAATGGTGCACGTGAAATGCTTGATGCTGTACGTTAAACAATCAGCTGACTCAAGTGTTCTGTTGAGTTTATAAAGGTCTCAATTCTGTGGTGCCATGTGATGGCACAAGGTGGCTAAACTGTCTCTTGAGATGGCAGTATCAAATGTAGAATGCCAGGGATCCAGTTTCCTGCTGATGGGCGTGGGGAGCAGCAGAGGAGAGGCCCTGCCACCCCCATGGCAGACCCTGGCAGAGATTCTGGCTTCAGAGGGCAACTATTAGCAGTAGCGCATGGTCACTCCAAATAGCCAATGAAAGTTGGGATTCTGTGTAGTTACTACATCTCCCAGGTAGTTCTGTTCTATACTGAAGTGGGTGAACCCCCAACCCACGAAGGTTGCTCTAAGTCATTCATGAGCTATTTCACAAGAAGTTGAAGAGCCTCAGTATCAAAATCCTAACAAGTTGTTCATGGCTCATTGCTGCTAAGAAACTGTATGAGCTTGCGAGCTAAAATGCCTGTGTGACTTCTAGCACTAATGGATCCCAATTCTTATGAATCCAGGCCCACCTAAGTCTGGTTATCTCACTGGTGGCTCCAAGTAATGAAGTGGGTGCTTCCCTTAGCTGCTGGAGGTGTGGACTGTCCAGCCGAGATAGGTAGGAAATGTGTGGCATTTCCCCTCACCTTGCAGGTTATTGTGAATTTTCTCTTTTCAAGCTGTTGTGGACTGCCCCATAAAAATCCTATGAATGTGCTGTTCAGGGCTGCCCTCCCAGTAAGGGGTGTTGGTCCTGGCCGGCTGGCTGTTTGGTCAGCCAGCTGCCATCTCTCAACCAAGAACCCAGGCTCAGATGTGCTGAGTTTCAATAAACTGGTGATTTCTGGGGATCTCAAAATCTGGGCACAACAAAGTGTGTAGCCCAGGGTCTGGCACGTTAGCGTTGTGGAAGTATTGAACTGTTCCTTTTCTCCTCCAGTTGCAGTCACTAACTTTCTCTGCCTTTTCAAGATATGGCCTTCTCTCTTTTTTTTTTTTTTTTTAAAGCAATGGCCTTTGATAATCAACATTTAAGGGGTTATTTGTCAGCAACGCCGCGTCTCCGCGTACCCCGAGCCAAGAGGAGGGACTAGGGATACAAAACAGACAACACACAGTGGGTCTTTCTTGTAAAGAGAATACCATTTATTCAAAGTAAACTCGCATCTTTCATAGTCTGCTTGGCTCCTCCCAGTATATTCCCAATGTTCAAGTGACACCTAAGCCTCCCCCCCAGGACATCTTAAAAAGGGGAAGCAGGGAAGAGGGAACTTGCAGTCAAGCCACTGGCTAAATGTATCAGGCCAAGATTGTCCATCCTGTTACACCTTGAGAAACAAGCTAAGCTGTGGAGTTAACCCTTGGGAAATCAGGGCAGCTGTGATGGCGTCCCTCACTGGGTTCTTGCTGGTCCCCTGGGAGGCCTGGCTGTCATTCCTGCATTTGACTAGTGCCTTACCATTGCCAGCACTTTAGTGAACCAGCCAGTGGGAGCTGACTCTCTTAATCCATGTGTATGTGTGTGTGTGTGTCTCCCTCTGAAGCATTCAAGTAAATAATTAAAAAAAAATTTTTTTTATTGCAAAGTCAGATATACAGAGGAGGAGAGACAGAGAGAAAGATCTTCCATCCGATGATTCACTCCCCAAGTGACCGCAATGGCCAGTGCTGACCTGATCTGAAGCCAGGAGCCAGGAACTTCCTCCAAGTCTCCCACACAGGTTCAGGATCCTAATGCTTTGGGCTGTCTTCGGCTGCTTTCCCAGGCCACAAGCAGGGAGCTGGATGGGAAGTGGAGCTGCTGGGATTAGAAGCAGCGCTCAAATGGGATCCCGGCGCATTCAAGGCAAGAACTTGAGCAGGTAGGGCACTGTGCCGGGCCCAATAATTTATTTTTTAAAATAAATATATTTCAGATTAAGTGAGACAGTGCTGAGGCAGGACTGCAGTGGACATGTTTGTGATTGATAGTTCTCAAATCAAATTACCTGTGCAAGTCTTGCCTAGAGATTTTAGGAATTATAACCAATGTCCTTCCGACATAAAGTAATAGGAATCTACAGATTTCTCAAGCTCAAAGGAAATAATTGGTAATTTATGGTACAGATAGATTTTACTGTAACATTTATTTACATTTGAAAAAAAAAAGACTTGCCCTGTGACACAGTGGGTTAAGCCCCACCTGCCGTGGTTTGACTCCTTACTCCACCCCGTACCTGTTGTTCCTAGTACTTGTGAGGATTAAGTATTTAATGCTTGAAAGGGGTGTGGCAAAGTGTTTTCCTCTCTTGTAAATATTGTGTAATAGCTGATCGGGATTTTTATTATTATACATCAAGCAAAGTAATTTACATCTGCTGTGGTCATAGCTAAAGAATTTTCAGGGATCCATGTTATGGGACTGCACATTAAGCCACCGCTTCCCTGTTAGGAGTGCCTATTTGTCCAGGCTACTCTGCTTCCTATCCAGCTCCCTGCTAGTGCAGCAGAGCAGAGAAGACAGGGGCCCAGCTAATGGCCCCTGCTGCCCAGTGAGAGATCCCGTTGGAGTGCTGCGGTCCGAGCTTTGCTGTGGCCCAGTCCTGGCAGTTTTGATCTTTCAGGGCATGAAGCAGCAGATGGTGGGTCTCTCTTTTGCTCTCTTATTTATTTACTTGCCTTTCCCTTCCAGTATCTAAATAAACCTTAGCAAATAAAAAAGAATCTCCAAATCTTAAGAATGCAAAATTTATTATATATTTATTTGTGCTCTTTTCCAAATTTCTCTTGAGTTTGTAGTGTTGTGCAAAATGAAATTCCTGCTTGCAAAGAAACTGAAATATAATTATGAATGCAATGTGGATTTAACATGTTTTAAAACACAAGACAGAGTGTGATAAGTGGAGGGGTAAAGAAGAGTCCAAATACAGCCCAAAGCCTTGGGACCCTGCATCCGCAAGGGAGACCAAGAAGGAGCTCCTGGCTGCTGGCTTTGGATCAGCTTAGCTCGAGCCATTGTGACTACTTGGAGAGTGAATCATTGGATGGGAGATCTTCCTCTCTGTCTCTCCTCCTCTCTGTATATCTGACTACAATAAAAAATAAATAAATCTTAAAAAAAAAGAAGAAGAAGGAGAAGAGCCCAGATCAAGGTGTTGACAGCAGGGTAGACTCCTTGCTGATAACTTTTCCCCTCTTTATTTTTATGACATTGTGGAGAAAAACGTGAGCTATGATATTGGACAGACCTACACTGAGGTTGGAGAGTGCTCCCAGAGCTCCTTAATCTCTTCATGTCCCTGTTTCCTTTTTTGTAAAAGCGAGGTATTAATAGCATGTATCTCACAGGGTTGTTGTGAGGGTAAGACAAGACAAAAATGTCAAACATCCCCTCTGTCAGCAGTAGGAGGCCAGTCCATGGGAGTGTTGTGACAGGGTCCCAAGGCTGAGGAAGGGCTGTGGTTCTGCCAAGTTACCAAGGAAGAAGACAAAGCCCAGGGACCTTGACTCTTGCATTAGCTATCATCTGTTTAGAAGAAATGTAGGGAAACTGCTCCGTCCAGTTTCCAGTGTAGCCCAAAGCCTTTCCGTTTATATTGTCTTTCTGTTGTAGTCAAAACCCAGCTAAGCAAGGATTGCCAGAATTATCTCCAAGTCTCTACTGCTTTCTTTCCATTAAAAAAAAAGTCAAAAACTTTTTTACTACCACCATTTAAAGAAATACTATCTTTATGTCCTTTGCCCAGAGTTCATCATAATCAGCATGAGGAAAGTTTAATATCATACTAGGTTAAAGGGCAGAAACTTCATTAGTGCAGATTCTAAGGCAGAGTAATAAATCTGGCTAAATGTCCTCATCTGATATAAGCAACTGCCAACAATATTAGATACGAAGCAGTGTCACTGTAGAGGAGTCAGAGGATCCATTCTCAAGGGAAAGCAATAATATTCTAGATGTGAAGGAGCATAGGAATGGTCCAAATGGGAGCTTTGAAATGCAGTTCTCTATAAAAATAAATATGGCACTTTCATGGAGTTGCATGTTAGTAGGAAAGTTCATAAACGTGGAGTCAAGAAGTGGGCAAAAGTTGAGAGATTATTTCCTAAGTAACTCAGGCATAAAGGAAGGCTAGCCAAGGGCAGGACTCTGACTATCTGCTGATAACTGGCAATTTCTGAGGCTTGCCTGAATTTTCTGAAGATTGCTTGGTAGGTAGGTTGGTTGGAACAGATCAGCTTCTAGCAGACATGATTTGGTAAGTGCAATATAAATGCTCTAAATCTTTTTTCTTACCTGTAAATTAAGAGTAACAGAATTTATATTGTAGAATTATTGGGAGAATTTTTCAGATGGT